GAGGGGGAGACGAACCATGAGAGATGATGGACTCTGAAAAACAAACTGAGGGTTTAGAGGGTAGGTGGGTGGGGGGATGGGTTAGCCTGGTGATGGGTATTGAGGAGGGCACGTTCTGCATGGAGCACTGGGTGTTATGAACAAACAATGAATCATGGAACACTGCATCAAAAACTAATGATGTAATATATGGTGATTAACATAACAATAAAAAATAAAAAAAAAAACAAAAACAAAACAAAACAAAAATCGTTTGTGCTCTGCCTACTCATCCCTCCCTCCCTTGCCCCCTGGAAGCCACTGATCTTTGTGTTTGCATAATTTTGCTTTTTCCGGAATGTTATATAGTTGGCATCATGCAGTGTGTAGCATTTTCTGATTGGCTTCTTTCACTGAGTGATATGCATTTGAGGTTCCTCTCTGTCTTCTCATGGCCTGAGAGCTCATTTCTTCTTAGTCCTGAATAATATCTGCAGTCTGGATGATCCACAGTTTATTTATTAATCACCTACCGCAGGGCATCTTGGTTGCTTCTGAGTTTTGGCGATTATGAATAAAGCCGCCATAAACATCCACGTGCAGGTTTTTGTGTGGACATGAGTTTTCTACTTCTTTGGATAAATACCAACGAGTGTGGTTGTGGATCGTATTACAAGAGTTTTGTGAGAAACTACCAAACTGTCTTCCAAAGTGGCTGCCCCATTTCGTGCTCCCGCCAGCAGTGGATGAAGAGTTCCTGCTTCTTCACATCCTCGCCAGCCTTGGGTGTCAGCGTTCTGGATTTTGGTGGTTCTGATAGGTGTGCTTGACGGCCTTTTGCAGACTCGATCACAGCGCCCACTAGATGGCCGCACCTTGCAGGGCTGGGCAGTGCCTTCCAGGATACAGCATATGCTCTAAGTCAGCAACCAATTTATGGTGCTCCTTCTGCACAGCTGGGATTCATGGACCTGGGAATCAAGGGGTCAAAATGGGATGGCTCCTCTCACTGTTCCCTCTCCTGATCCACGAGCTGAATCTCTGCTGTCTGTTCCCACAACTTCTGGTTCTAGAAAGCTCAGTTCAAGGGGAAGAGAGCCCCATCCAGAGGACGCAGTGCCAGTCTCATTGGGCTGTGGGCTGGGGCGGCCACCTGGCCACGTAGGACGCTTCGTGCCAGTGAGCCAACAGGTAAAGAACGTAGACTGTACTGGCCAGGCTGATCGGGCCTGTCTGTCAAGGGGCAGAGGGCCGGAGGACATGCCTGGAATGCAGGAGGATTCCCCGGGGTGCCTCCCAGTACCCTCAAGTCCTGTGATTGAAGTCAGTGCAAAAGTTCAAGGACGCGATTCAGGCGGGCTTGCTGGGAGCTCAGGCCCATCAGGAAGGAAGCTCTGGGGCTCCCACCAGGCGGGGAGTCCCAGCCAGGGAGCGTGGACTGGATGGTGCAGAACGGCCTGTGGCCAGCTGCAGAAATGAGGACCACAGCAGCTGCTGACCTTATCCCTGCCACCAAGCTGCAGCACCGAGTGTGAGCCTGTGGAGAACACCGGGGAGGGACTGTCTTCTCCTGGGCATATGCGCGTGTTTTCAGGATGGCCGCATCCAGTTAGGTGGGAGCATGACTTTGTTGTTGTCTTTGTTTAGAAAATAGGGTTTAAAGGGTGCTGTGAGCAAGGCTTGGGAGGTGTGCCGAGGCCCGTGCTGGGGGCCGTGCTGGGGGCAGGATGCCTCTGGCTCTCGCTGGGCCACATTGGTCAGCACGCCCCCTTCCGCATATTCCTGATTAAGGGGATCACCAGAGGCACTTCTGCTTGAGATCTGGAGGCCAGGAGGGCAGTGGGGCCACGTGTGGATGGAGGGGACTGTGGGACATCTCCTGGTTTGGGCGCTGTAAATACTTGCTTATAGATATATATTTTTTAATGTAATGGTTTTTATTTTTTTTAAAGAATTTATTTATTTGACAGAGAGAGCAAGCACAAGCAGGGTGAGGGGCAGAGGGAGAAGCAGGCTCCCCGCTGAGCAGGGAGCCCGACATGCAGCTCAGTCTTGGGACCCTGCGATCGTGACCTGAGCTGAAGGCAGGTGCTTCACCGACTGAGCCACCCAGGCGCCCCTGCTTACAGACTTTTGTGTGTGCACAGATCCTCTTCTGTTTAGTGCTGTTTCCCAACCTTTGAGAACTGGTGACTCCCAGAGAAACCCTTCCAGACTTAACGTTCCTCAACTCCCTTCCTGTGCTAGGACATTTTAGTGCCTCTGATGGGCCATGTGTGTGTTGTGTGTGCGCTGGGCCCTTTGGAAGGCCACATTCCACTGCAATGGCTACGATCTGTAGCCCCAGAACCAACTCTGGCCCCCTTGCAGGTGACCTTGCCCTGTGGCTAATGCATGCTTTGGGGGGAAATGTCCAGCTGGGCGATTGAAGTCACTGGTCAGAAACTGTCAAGTCTTGCAGGGGCGGGCGTGGTTGCACCTGCCCTTCCCACCGGCTGTGCATGAAGGTGCCAGGGTCCTGACATGCCGTGCTGACCCACACTGTGTGTCTCCGGCGGCTCAATCCCTCCTCTGTTTTTACCGGCGGTCCCGGATTTGTTCCCTTGGAGCTAGGGGTGGTCGTGTGACGTGGCGCGACCAACAAGATCTAACCAGAAGTTGTGAACAGGGAGCAGATGGGGCAGGTATGCCCTGCGAGGCTCTATTCCTCCTGCTGGCTTCCTCCTAGAACAGGGAGAGGATGATGTGATGCCCATGGAGGCAGCCTTCTTGCAGCCATGAGGACAAAGGGACCGGCTGAGGATGGGCTGTCAGTGACACTGAGGCCACTCTACCCCTTGGGACTGCCTGCCTCTAGGTTCCCGTGAGGCATGCAGACAAAACTCTGTTTAGAATCTCTGTTCATTGGCGTTTCCTAAATGTATTTCCCTGGTGATATAGCCCTGAGCATCAGCAACGCAAGCACAGAAAAAAGGGGCCAGAAATACCATTAGGAATGCTTGTTTCCGGACGACCGCTTTTGCCCCCCAGGCGGGGGGTGGGGAGCGGGGCAGATCTTGGTTCGCTGAATATGCTGCTTTCATTTCCTGTTCTCCTGGGCGGACACTTAGGACCCCACGGACCTACAGGGAGCATTCATTCTCTGCAAACTAGAAGGATATGAACCCTTCGAACAATGTGAAAAACACGAATAATGCTTTTAATACTTGATGCCTTTGGGAATCGCCCAGGATAAAAGAAACAAAGAAAAGACACAAGAATGTATAGAATCCCAATTTTGTGAAAGAAAAACAGGGGAAGAAGATTCAGGGAAAACAGGCCAAAGTTACCAGCAGTTACTGCTGGGTGTCAAGTCACGGGGTGTCTCGGTGCTCCTGTCTTCCCCCGAGGGTCCTATGGTGAGCGCACAGTGCACTGTCCCACGGAGACCCAGCAGTCGGGGCCCCGTCCCTGCCTCCCCTCCGAGGGGCCCCAGTAGGGCTTGCCCACAGGGGTGCGTGCTTCTCCCCGCCTCCCGCACAGTCCCCGTGGCTGCGCCCCTACCCGGCCCTGCCTCTAGGTGGGTCCCTGGGCTAGCAGGGGTGCGGTGGAGTTGAGGAGCGTGCCAGCCCCTCGGTGCTGTCTCCGTGGAGCCCCAGCCCCTTCCAGCTTTCTGGTGAACGGGCTCCTTTCATGCTCCCTTATGGCTACCTCTGCGCAGCGCAGCCCGGCCGGTGAAGCACCAGGACTGGGGTTCCCAGGCCGGTGGCACCCCTGCCAGGCCCCGCAGCTCGAATCCCAGGGACTGCCCTGCCTGGCCATGTCCTCAAGCCGGACTCCTCACTAGTCGGGCTTCTGGAGAGCCACACACAGCTCGGGGCGCCCTGGATTGTGGGCGACATTGGCTAAATGGGGTCACAGGTTGGAGGGGTGATGGCGTGACAGGTGGCAGGGTGAGGACAGCGCTGCCTGGTGCCGCGGGAAGGTTTCGTGGAGCCTCTGAAAGCCAGGCTTTGGGATGAATACAAACGAAGCCAAGCATCTGAGGAGTAGACGATGGACTGAGGATTTTAACGTGGGGCTGTTTCCGACACTATTGGGGAAACCCCTCTCATCTTGCGAGTCTGGGAGCCGGGTGCCACGCTCAGCACTCCTTAGCGTCTGTCCTGCACAGCTGGGGTGTTCCGACCTGCAGGGCCTGGGCAGCCAGCAGCTCTCCGTAGAGCGGCCCCCCCCCCGTCAGGGCTGCCCCCTCGGCCCCCCGGCGTTGGCTGCGTGCTCCGCTGGGATGGGGGCCTGTTGTGCCAGAGGGGACGTCTTCGCTTCTGCTCGCAGCGGCGTTGGGGTGCACAAGCTGAGGAAGTTCGGGCGCGGGTCACTAGGTTGAGGGCGGTTACAGGTAGCAGTGACTAGCCGCAGTTCACGGGGCTGTGCTGTGCCCACGCTCTAGCCATGGCCACGTGTCGGGTCCCCTCATCGTGAAGGCACCCGCGTCAGCCTCCCGGCCACGGCCACGGCCACACAGTCCGCCCCACCACGTGCTCCCTGAGCAGCACCAGGCACCGGGCACGTCTAGCCACACACGGAGCAGACAGAGCGGTAGGGCGGGTCACCCAACTCGGGGCCAGAGGTCGTCTGCTGAGCGGGGGGCCCCCGTCCAGCCCCAAAGTCCCAACAGGGAAAAGCAACGGCACACGAGGGACAGAAAACCTTCTGTAGACATTTATTCTACTTCAAGTAACAAAACCTATGGAGTTGCATGTTTTAATGTACAGTGATATCATACTTTGCAATATAAAATACAATTTACAGAAATTTCTATCAAGTAACCCTAAAGAAACACACTTGATTTTTACATTTGTGTATTTAAATTAGAAAAATTTGTTTTACATGTAAAAAACCCTTCACATCATATTAGATGTTGGAACTTGACGCCACTTCAATGTAATTTAACCTACTGACGCTTGGTCTGGAACCAGTCACACCGAATCACCAAGTTCTCCGTGTTCGTTGTTATCATTTGAACATTTGTGCTAGAAAGTGAAAAATCTGTAGTGATGTACAATGGAATAGACTCCAAACAATGAATGAAATTCTCTAATTTTACACTTGCAAAAGTAAGTTTATGAAAATATAAAAAAATTATGAAAGTGTATTTGTACAGTCAAATAAATTAGCAAGGTTTTCTCTATTTCCTGCTTTGGAAGTACTTGAAATTATGCGACCAGGAGCAGGACGCTGTTTGGGTCAACAGTGTCCCGGTGTGTTGTTCTCGAGCGACTGTCACTGTTTTCTGTCTCAGACTTCACACAAACACTGTTCCATTTTCAGTGACAGACCTTAAAACGCATCACCGGCCAGGGTTGCAGTCTGGGGCGGGTGCACTTTCCCTGGGCCACAGGCAGGACTGTGGGGATGGTCGGGTTTCACAAACAAAAATGCTCCTGATTATTCAAATCAAAGTCACCCCCCACCCCCCACCCCCGTTTTAAAGTACACTTAATTGGCTTCTTTTCTCACTTTCTTTAAGCTGGTAAAGGTTACACCTTTTTCAATAAATTGCTATTTAAAAAATGCAACAGTTTCTACTCGGACAGATGTTGCTTTTAATCCTGTTCTTGAGGGAAAAAAACGTATAAGGTGATATACAAAAACTGAGAAAAACTAAGAAATGTTTTGTTTCCCGGTTGAAATTAGTAATTCACATTTCCTTGTGACAAAAGAAAAACACGTTTGTAAAAGCTCTGTCTCTCTCCCCATCCCCGGGAGGGGCAGAAGGCCTTCCCCCCGGCTGGCGCCCCTCGCAGCAGCTTTCCAGAAACAGAGATACAGAGATGTCAGTAAAGGTACGGCTCTAAGGTCCACGGAAATTCCCTTAAAATTTACTCTGGTCAAGTTACTGGAAAAGATAACTTTATAATCTGAAAAAGCAATATGCTTCTGTAGACACTTTCCCATTTCAGTAATTTTAAATGGAAATACTGAGTTCTTAGTTTTTTTTTTTTTAAAAAGCATCAGAATTGTAAAGATGTGAAATTTTGTAAGAAACCACTATACACAAAATTACAGTAATTTTTCAAGTCCAGAATATTCTATTCTGCATCTAAGTTCGTAGCTCTTTGCAAAACCACATGCTCACCACAGCTGGGGCCAGCTCTCCGGGAGGCCGGCTGCGGGCGGCCGGGGCCAGAGCAGCTGCAGGGTCTCGCGCGGCCGGCGAGCGGCCGCTAGGTCTGCGCGGCGGGGGCGGCAGCCCGAGGGGCCTCAGCTTTGGGGTCGCGGGCGCCCTCCTTGCTTTTGCTGCGGTCCTTGCGCTCCCGGCCGTGGTCACGGGTCCGGTCACGGCCGCGCTCCCTGCTGCGAGACCGCTCCCGCTCCCGCCTGCGCTCCCGGTCCCGGTTCCGGCTGCGCTCCCGGCTCCGGCCCCACTCGGCCGCCCGCTCTGGCTCCCGCCCCCGGTCCCTGTCGGCACCGCGCTCCCGACTCCGGTCCCACTCGCGCCCGGGGTCCTTGTCGCGGTGACGGCCCCGCTCGTGGCCCCTTTCCCAGTCCCGCTCCCGGCTCCAACGCCGCCCTCGCTCCCGCCGGCGCTCCTCCAGGGCCCTGCCCGGCCGGTTCTCTGGCAGCGTGGCTTCGGGTTCATCCAGAGGCTTTTCTTTGGGCCCGGCTTCAAACCGCTCCCTCGGCCGCCCTTCGAAGGCCTGGCTTCTGTACTCATGGCCCTTGCCCTCACGGAAATCAGTCTCGGGGCCCTGTGTGGGCGCCTCTTCCCAGCGCTCCGCCCGGTGCGGTGGTGGGTGGCTGGGCAGCTCCAGCAGTGGCCTGGGGCCTGGCTTCAGCCCCGGCGCTGGCGGGCCCTGGAAGTGGAAGCGGGGAGGCGTGGGCTCACTCTTCTCGGGAAAGGGCACAGACCCTCTGGGTCCGCCAAACGGAAGGGGCGCTGGCGCCCGGGGGTTGGCAAATCTCGGCGGTGAGCTTACCCTCTGCTCCTCGAACTGCTGAGGCTGAATCCCCCTGGGTCCTGGCATGAAATTTGGTGCTTGGCCTCTGGGTCCTTCAAACTGACCAGGATGTGGCCCCCTTGGGCCCACAAAGTGGCCGGGGGGGGGCCCTCTCTGACCGCCAAACTGGGAGGGAGGGGGACCCCCTCGGGGCCCTTTAAACTGTGACAGCAGAGGCCTTCTCTGGCCTCCAAACTGGAAAGGCGCCGTGCTCCTACTCCCCATGAACTGGGCTTGTTCTGGTCCCTCAAACTGCGGGGCAGGGCCGGCCATCTCATCGTACGGGCTGTCCTGGAATTCCCTTTTCTCCCCATGGGGGTCCTTCCGCTCTTCAAATTGGGGTGGTGCTGCTCCTCTGGGCCCCCCAAGGTGGGAGGGGGAGGGACCCCTGCCATCCCCGTAGGGAGAGGGCCCATGTGGCCCTGAGAACAAGGAAGGGATGGGCCCCTTCTGGGCCCCAAATCTGGCCGGCGGAGGCCCCCTTGGCCCATCGCTATTAGAAATGATATTCTCTTCTGAAAACGAAGGGACTGGCCCCCTTGGTCCTGGGAAATTGGGGCCATGAAGCCCTGACGTCCCGAAAGCGCGTGGTGCTGGCTCACGCTGGCCCTGAGATGGGGGCGGAGGGGCCCCTCCTCTCTGTCCAGCTGTGGGGAATGTGGCAGCCCCCTCACCGGGTCTGCACTGTGGCTCTCTGTCTCCTTCGGCTTCAACAGCCGAGTGGTCACCTTTTTCAGCAAACTGAACATTTCTTGGATCCTCGTACTGGGTCGAGCCAAGCGATTTTTCCTGAGAGGTACACGCTGGGCCTGAGAAAGGGTCCCTCCCTCCAGGAGAGGGGAAACTCTGCCCGTCGTTCTGCAAAGGGAAGCCAGGCTGAAACGCGGTGCTGGGGGGCGTGGGCAACAGTACCTTGCGGGCAGGTCTGGGCATGCTACCCAAGCCCGTCGAGGGTGGGCCGCCATCTGCCGGTGGCGGTGCCGGGCTCAAGGAGCGCTCGTGCTTGGGGCCGTCCGGCTTGGCTGGCAGGGCAGTCTCTGCACCCTCTTCCCGGGTTGTGGGGGGCCTCGAGCCGGCTTCGCTCTCGCAGTGCTCCGCGGCCAGCCGCCGGGCCTGCCGGGGGTCCCGACTCTGCCGCGGGTCGCAGCCGGGGCCGGCGGCTGGAGGGGCACCAGGGAGCGCAGCGGGGCGGCCGGCGGCCTGCTGCTCTTGCGGAAACAGCTCAGCCTGGGGCAGGGAGGACTTTGGGGGTGGAGACATGAGTGCCTCAGCCACGGAGAAGTGCGCCATGGAGGCCCCCACGGCGGCCCTCTGCTGCCGTAGCGCGGCTTCCTGCTCCTCCACCTGCCTCTTCTGCTCCTCGATCTGCTTGTTGAGCTCTTCTATCATCTTCTGCTGCTCCACCAGGGAGGGGGCCGCTCCGGGGGCCGCGGGCTCACCAGGCCTCTCCGTGGCGCCTCCCTTCCCGTCCGCACACATCCTGTTGGGCAGGTCGTCAATGGCCACTTTGGCTTCTTCTAAAATGGTCTCATCTTCTGGGTCATAGGCCACCTCCTCCCGCTCGGCGGTCTCGGGGGCCTTGTCCACGTCAGGGCGCCTCCCGCGCTCGAGCTGAGTGTCAAAGGCTCGCTCAGGACCGTACTCCTCTTCGGGGTCATACGGTCTGTCGTCTTCCTCCTCCTCCAGAGCTCTGTCTTTTGAGAACTGACCGAACTGCTGGACAATTGGATCTAGTAAAGGCGCCGCGGGCAGCCCCCCGTCGGCCTTGGCTTTGGAGTCTGGGTGGGAGGCCGGGGCGGACTCCACGGCCTCTCTGGCAGGGGGATCAAATGATTTCTTCTTCCCGAACAGGGTCTGCAGGATGTGCTCCAGGGGCGAGGCTGTTTTCGGGGCAGAGGAATTGGCGGCGGCGGCGGCCGCCGGAACAGCCAGTGCAGGGGCTGAGGGGACGCTGCTCGTGGCTCCCGGTTTGAGCGAGGACAGGATCTTCAACACAGAGGACGAGGCCGGCGCAGCGGGGGGCTCCGGCAGCGGGGGCGGTGGTGGAGGAGTCCCTGGGGGTGTGGTGCTGACCGCCACGTCCCCGGAGCCCACCTGGGACTTGGGGGGCTTCCTCTCAGACTGCGGGGCCGCAGGCACCTTGGGATAGACTGGAACTTCCGTTTCTTCCTGGGTCTGAGGGCGGATCCGCTTCTCCTCTACCTTCTCTAATTCTCCAGCATTTGAAGGACGTTTTATTCTCTGACAGATTACTAACCCAAGGATTAGGTTGGGACGTGGTGACTCGAGACCTGAAAAACAAAATATTTGTGCAAATTTTAGAATCTAACTTCAGCCTTTGTTCCTCAGATGCAAACCCTATTAAGGGCGGTCGTGGAAGACACTCACTGGCAAAGTAAAATCAAGTTTGAAGAGTTTACTGCAAAGGACTGCGGAGCCAGACCACAGAGCCCAGGGTCCAGCTCACGCATAAATTCACCCAGGTTACAGATCAAAACACCAGATATACTGCGAAAGCAGCCGCGTGAGAGGAGGTGGGGAAGGCCATTATGCAAATATCAACATCTGCTAACCTACAGGGAGTGAGGCAGGGCACCAGGGACCGTGTTTCAACAAGATCTTAGCTGTGTTCTTTTGCTAACACGTCAGAAAGGCAATAGCCTGTCCTGTCCTCACTGAGGATTTGCGCCACAGATACGAAGCTGAAGGTTCGATCAGGGGGCCAGTCCTACAACTTGGTTACGATGCTCACCTCCGCACATGCCATTAGGTAAGTTCACTGGCTGCTGGTGTCCAAGTCGCAGTGAATGGGCAGGACTGTGCTGATTGAAATGGCTAAAATAAATCATCTTCTCGGTTTAGAAAGACACTCAGTTAAGGAGAGCTAAGTAATGCTCACGGTCTCTGTAAGCACAGGACAGCGCTGAGACACAAGAGCAGGGTGCTCAGAAAACTGGCCAAGCGGAAGACCCTGGGGTTTCTGGGCACAGGGCAGCTCTTAAACATAGTCATTTCTTAAATAAAAAAAGATTATTCCATTCTAAATCGTACATCAGGAATGTTAATATTTCAATAATGACTCTCCGCCCCACGCTCATAAGAAATCCAGAATACCAAAAGAGGAACAAAAAACCCAAGTCACGAAACAGTAATTTTAGGGAGAAATGATATACAAAAATTTGTCAACAGCGTAAGATACTTAAAATCAAATTGTATAAATGCAACTGGTAAGTTAATGTTACTGTAGTATATAGGTATTTATGCTGTGTGTGTACACCTTTCACTTACTGAAAATCAGTACTGTTTTCCCATTCTTTTTGGTTTTAAAGATGATCACAAGTCACTTCAAATAGTTGTTTTTGGACCCCGTTATATAATTCTAAAATGTCTGTTAATCTTCCCAAATTCCAATAGAGCTGGGTTGACAGGCGGAGCACACGAGGGTGGTAGACGGCCCATCCAGCCCCCGAGAAGGAAAATCAGGTATGCCAGAGGTGGGGAGATGGAGCCTCTGCACACACAGCCTAGTGCAACCCTCCCTCCCTCCTGTTGGGAAGGGCCTGCTTCACAGGCTCACATGTGAGAGTGGGGTGCCCGTGGAAGACATCCACTCCTAACACACCAGGACCTGAACACCACCTTCATTAGAGACCCGGCTTCCAGAACGTCCTCTCCCTGGCCGCCCCCCCCCCCCCCCCCCCCCCCCCCCCCCCAGCCCTCAAAAGCTGTGTATCCAGGAAAGGAAGAGCCTGGCGAAGGAGGGAGTAGAGACTGGAAGGTCAGGCAGCCCACCCTGAGTGTCCTATCCAAATGTTTCTGCTCAGCAGACATGAAGGGTAATCTATCATTTCCTAATTAACATGAGTTAAGGGTATTTTAACTTCGAATGACATCTTACTCTAACAGCCATTCACTGAACACTTGCTTACTCAGATCCAGTTTTGGGTACGATCAATTGCTGAAACGGCTCTCTCGTGGCCATTCTGGACCGAGTGTCTGGAGCCTGGCTCTCCCTGAGGAACCTGACACGCGAGCCAGAGTGAAGGAATGTGCTCAGCCACGCGGGTGGGTGGGCGGGTGGGCGGGCGTGAGCAAGGGCTGGGGAGCCTTGTGGAGGGGAAGTCCCCACGACTGCACTCAATGCAGAGGGCCGTGCCACCTCTTAAGGAAAAGCCCAACTCCGGGCGCACCAACGTCAAGGCTTGTGGTTGGGGGTCGAGTCTCAGGTCAGTAAGCTGTGCGTGACAGGCAAGTCGGTGTTAAACCCAGGAAGACCTGGTCTGGGGTCTGGTGAAGTGTGCCCTTCCAACTAAAACTCCCCGACAGTTTCACGGGCTGCCCGGAGAAAACAATCACTACACCCTAACCTCGGCAACGCTCTGTAGGTTCCGACCTTTGCTGTCCTAGCCATCACAGGCCAAGATGGTGGTTAAATTAGTATTTACATTCGTTTCGACAGCAGCGAGCTCTCTGGGCATTGGCATGTAATTAAGTAGCGTTCAACTCTCAACTTCCTCATCTGCACAGATCTGTAAGTTACCTAACGAAGTTCCAGACTCGGAGCAGCGTTAGTTTTGAATTTTGCCAAGATTTTAAATTTAAACTGGGTGGTCACAAAAAGGCATACGTCTGTTTTGAAGGAGTCAGATCTTATCGTCTCAATTGTGTGTTCATGTTATGGATGCATGAATATCTGATGTGTAACTAGCACCTTGGCAATAACTGACATTTGTGGAACAATAAATCCACTGATCTGTCTCGGGCCTTAGGATCCATCTTTACTGAGATGAGGGTGTGCCCGACTCGACCCTGCCCTCGGCTGCCACAGGGCAGGTGGCAGGCAGGGTGACCGTGGGCAAGAGCAAATGGGTGCCCACAACTGGGGAGGCAGTAGAGGGCCGGCTCTCCTCCAGAACGTCCCACTCCCAGCCAGGGCCCTCTGTAGGCCTGCCCGCTGCCAAGTGCTCCCCTGGAGCAGACAGGGTGTCCGAGCGGGTGCAGCAGCGGCCGTGGCCGCACCGGCTGCAGCGTGGAGACCGAGGGCTCCAGCCCAGGGCACAGGGCTGCTTCTCTGCTTTTGCAAAATTCCTCCCTTTGTCCATCGTTAGAAGCAGAGATGCTTACTTACCAACCGCCCTTTTGAGGGTTGTTAGGTTTGTAATTGATAAAGCCGATGAAAACAAGCAACTAGGTGGGTGGGAGATTGCAACAGGAGCTGCAGCTAGGGTGCCACCCTCCATTTCCAGAGGAGCGATCACTCGGAACAAGGGTGTTGGCACCCACCCGCTCCAAAATGCCGAAGCAGATGTGTCTTCAGGGGGTACTGCATGGGTCGCACAAGCCTCTGGGGTGGTATGCAGGTATCCCCGAATGTTCTCAGTGGAAGGTCTCTAGTCTGAGTCTCCGTGGCTGGAGTCAGACCCGTACAAAAAAAGTGGGGAAACCCAGGGACTGGGGACATCTGCCCTGCTGTGTGCCAATGGACCTCCTGACACCAGACCCAAGCCAGGATTTGTGTTCCTGCGTGTGAGCGGCAGGGAGGCCAGGGAGGGTGAAGGGGCTGGGAACACGGCCCTGGGCCGCCCCCATGCACCTCAAGCCTGACACAGCATGGGACAAAACTTCGTTTTAAACCACCTGAAAGCGGACTCCTTAACCCCAAAACTACCAAAATGCTCTTACCCCCAAATCTATCTGGCACTCTATTTATTTTTTAAAATGAAAATTCTTATAGTCTGAATCCATCAAAATTTTCACTCCTGCTAAACAGAAACTGTGTGGGAGTTAACAGGCCATACTTCTGAAGTATGACTTGCCTAGAAAGAGACTTGGCAAATACAGGGGAGACACTATACACCTCCCCCAACCCTCCACCACCACCGCCACCGCACACACGCATAATGCACACGCACACACACGCACCTCTCCCTCTTTCCAATTTTGAATCCCTAAGACCCGTACAAAGCCACTGGGCCCAGCGCGCGTTTCAGGTAAAAGGAGAGCGTTGTCTGTCTTCGTCCAGGCTGCACGCCCAAAGGGGGTCGTGTTGGCTTATAAAAAATAAAGGTGGAGACTTTCGTCCTCCATCCCAGTGGACCTGTAACAGGTACCAAGAGCTACCAAATGGTTCAAATTCAAACAAACAGTGACCAGTTTCCATGAAATATTTTTATTGATTTCGAAGGAGAAAGCGGTACATGGAATTCAATACCATACTTGACTTTGAGAACGTGTGCACAGCCATGGATTCTTTCTCACACACACACGCACACAGAAAAACTGAGGAGCGCTTACCTGGCAGTACTGCACCTCACAGAAGTTTCCAGCTAGTTTAGAAAGCAGTTAGACGTGAATGCAGAAGACGGCACCATGGGTTTACAGGGTTCATGGAAACCGCCCTCCGCGCTAAGCACCTGGCAGGCAGACTCCCTGCCCCTGCCCTCCCTCCCCACCCCCACCCCCACCCCCGCGCATCCTGGAAGCCCAACACCACTCAACAGGCGCCCCAGGCTGGAGCCTGTGCCCTACAGAGTCCCTCGGTCCCGGCCTGTCGGGGTCACAGGGGGCTGTAAGATGAACGTCCAATGTCAGCTGGATCAGAAACTTGGGCTTTCCAGGTGTCTTCTGAAACTGTGCCGTCAGGTTATTAAGAATGACATGTGGAACGGAACAAGACAACCTGGTATTTCTAATGGACAAATCCTACAAATACGCATGGACGAAAACGTCCTCAGAGAAGCTGAGCGTGCTCTGGGTGTGTTCTGACACGCTGCGTGGACACCTGGTGTGTGGGCCGAGGAGCGGCTACGTGTGGACACACGCTCCGTGTTTACTGTCAGGAGCCCGACGCTGGGAAAACACTCAGCACTGGCCGAGGGGCAGGCGCATGCGGAGTCCCCAGATTAGGTGCCTTCTGTGTCCTGCTTCTCAAGTGTGGACAGCAGGAGTTTGGGGAGAATCCCACATGGACGACATCTACGGGGCCCGCGAGTCCAGGAGGTGAGGGCACCTGTAGCTTCTCTCCACAAACCGAGCTTCAGGTAGAGCCAGTCACACCCTTCTGCAACACCATCCCCACCTCCTGCTTACACAGCAGGCCCCTCACCCAGACAGGTGGCTCGTCAGAGCCGGAGCCCCGTGTCCGCTGAGGCCTGCGCTTCGTGTGCTGCGCAGAGACCAAGCATGACAGACGGAGGAGGTGCAGACCCGGGCACAAGCGACTACGGGGTGTGCAACCTCAGGCAAGCGACAACTGTGGGCAGCGTAGGGGACTCCCCGGGAGATTGGGCTGTGGTGGGAGTCAAGGGCACCCCCGTCAGGCTTGGGCAGTGCTCGCCGGATGGCGCCTGCTCGAGTCCGCCAGGTGTTCTGCTGAGGGACGCCATTGCCACCCTGGGTGCAGGCCTGCGCTTTCACGGGATGCCACGCAGAGACTAACTCTGTAAGGACAGGGACCTCCACGACGGGAGAAACACCCCCATGCCCAGCCTTCCAGATGCGTGCACACACGACACACCAGGACACGCGCCCAGCCTTTCACACGTGACACACACCACGAAACCAGGACACACGAACAGTTGGATCTAAAGAGCGCCAAGTCACGCTATGGGTACGTGAAGCAGGTCAGGCAGAGAACCTGGCCAGGGCTCAAGGTTGTTTACTGGGAAAGTGTATAAAATACACACAGGTATTGATGGCAATAGCGGTATCAGAAGAATAAAAAAATATATGCTAAATAGGGTTAAATTTAGAAGTCCCTTAAGTTAAAAAAAATCTTTAAAAGCTTATAAGCAGAACTTCACTGACCACTACGTTTCTAAAGCCCTCCCTCCTGTCCTGTATTTACTGTGGATGGAAGTCTATGGGTCGTCCGGGTACCCCTTCAGGTGGTGTTGGAGCTTCAGGAGTGCAGGTGGCTGGTCACCGAGCGTGTCCGGGTGGTCAGCGCCCGTCATGCTTAGCGGATCTGGCGCATGCCACCCACCCCACCGCCCTCCTTGTCCCTGTGTCACCCTGGAAGCGTCCCTTGCGACCCCCACCCCTCTGCCAGCTGGGGACCCCCCACCGCAGCTCTGGAGGGTCTCCTCACCTGTCCACTGCAGGGAGCCTGCTCCTGCCTCCGCATCAAGCCCAGCTCCTTGCAGCCCTGCCCCAGCGGGGCCTCCACACAGGCCTCCGCTTGCTCCCGACAGTGACGTCTCTGGGAAGCTCACCCCCTGCGGACCTCGCAGCTGGGGCAGCGGGAGGAGCTTTAGCCTGGCTTCAGGGAGGCTGCGGATCTCAGCCGCGGCTCTGTGAACACCCAGTGTCTGTGTTACCAGGGAACCCTACGCTTCTGCTTACGCTACATCCTCCACACGAGCTTCTACGCTGGTGACTGACCGGAGGCTCTTCACAGGGCCTGGGAGGCCAGCTTCTTCATCTTCACCCTCAGGAACTCAGCACGGTCATCCAGGGAGCGGGCCAGCACGCTGCACACAGCTGCTCGCCAAGAACCTCCAGCAAGGTTCTTTCTGCCACCCGCTAGAGGGCGTCTCTTCACCCCACAAGGGTTCGCGAGAGGACCCCCCTCAAGTCCTTTGCTTTTAAACTGTACTCGCATTAAGGTGACTCGGTGTAGTGTGCCGGCAGCCATCTACCCCCACAATTACGGATACCAGCCCACAGCACTGCAGGCCGGCTTCTGACACGTAGGGACCAACTGAGCCCAGCTCAAGTGTTAAGAACACGCTCCAGTCAGGACCCGGGACGTGAGCGTGGGTGGCGTGCTCTGGCCCGAGCAGCCCTGCTGGGCCCAGCTATGGTTTAGGTGAGGTGAGTATGGCATGTGGCTGCGGCAGGAGCACTGGCTGGGACTGGTGACAGGGCCAGGGACACAGAGGTGCCAGGTCTAGGCAGCGCCAGCAAGGGCCTGGCATTCAGCCATGGCTCTAGAACAACAAAGCACCTCAAGAGTGTTCACCATGTGTTCTCAGGTGTTCTCCATCTTTTGGGGACTTCATGACCAAGGAGACACTTCAATGTGGGCATCTTCTGCCAACTGTGTAACTCAGTCACGTGGACTTCTCAGGGCTTAACAGGAGTTGGCCCCTCACACACCATGTCCCCTTTGGAATCACCCTCAACCCCTTGACACATCTGAGCTTTTTTTTTTTAAAAGAACTAATTTGTAAGTAATCTTCTAAAAGTACCGCTTTCTAAGGAATGAACAAACACAGAATAGCTTTCCTGTATCTCTTGCCTGGCATCTGCTCACCCCTGAGCTGCGGGGCAAGCACAAGCATCCCCCAAGCCCACCATGAGGATTACCTTCCTGTCCGGCCCTTTTCTGGCCTCCACTGACCTGAGGCCATGACCAGCTGGCTGGACACTGTGGGATTTTCCCCTCTTCATGTCACTTTTCTAAGACAATTCATGCCAACAGTAAGGGTATTTCTAGCGCCGCCCTCCGGTATCCCAGAAGCCGAGTTCTAGAGCTAAACGGGGCTCCATCTGCACTCCTCGTTCCTGCTGCTAGAAAGCCACAGTCTGGGTGAGGTGGCAGATCTGCCCGCGTGGTGTTGGCAGGAAAGGGACGTGTGGGGTCAGGTGTGCGCAGTCACCACTCACAAAGTTGGCGCTTACCTGGTCCCTCAAAGGGCAAGAGTTTGGATGGAATGGGGTCCTTAGCACTCAGTGGGATCAGGTAGAGGTCCTTGACGTGCCTGCTGTTATTAGCTACAACGCCAAAGCGGCCACGGCTGCTAAAATAGGAGTAGAGAGAGATATAGGCCACCTCCTCCTCCTCGGTCGCGGGGTGGAATCGGATCAGACACAGCTCCTGCAGCACAAAGAGAGGGCGAGAGAGCGTTGGCCTGCAGCTACTCAGAGAAGGCATCCGCGCTCATCTTCCATCTAAACCTCGAAGGCCGTCTGAAAAGAGAGAAACGAGCGCTTCTCGGCCCGGTCCCCACAGTCCTGCCGTCACCCAGCGCGTCAGGACGATGGAGCAGGAGGGACAGCAAGGGCCCCAGCACCGGGCTGCTGGACTCAAACCCTGGTTTCGGCAGCAATCTCCTGAAGACCACTTCTACTCCTAGCCCCGCTTTTCCCAAAACAGCCCCTCCTGTGTGTCCCTGGACCGCACGTCATCTGCTGCGGTGCTGGCCTAGAGCAGAGTCTGACGCGGACTGTGAGGACAGTGGTCCTGGTCACCTGGCTGTGTGACCTACACAAGAGCCAAGTGCGGCTCCATATCGGGAAGGCTCAACGAGACCAGAGGGTCTGAGCCCCGCGTGTGCCTGAGGAAAACCGCAGCCCTTCCCCACGCATGCATGCCCAGCTGTGGCTGCAACTCTGGGGCTCACAGCCTCCAGACCCAGGGCCCGGGCCTTGCGGGAGCCAGGCCACCTTCTGGCACCTGCCAGCTCCCTCAGTCACAGAAACAACGGGGAGACATGGTGCCTGTTTCTCACCAACCCTGAACCACACACACATTAACAGAAACCGTAATAAAACTGCCATTACCGTATTACCCAAACACACAGTCATCCCCACCATAAATGTCATTTTAAACATTTACCTGGCAATATTTAATAACTTATAGGCTGACGTTGCAAGTACTAACCCATCAAGAAAGACTTGCATTTACACAAATGCCTTCCTCCGTGGGTGCAGAGATTAGACTATGGCAGGTACCTTGGACACAGAAGATTTGAGTTTGCCGACATAATCCCAAACTGTTCTGGGTGTGATCCTTCCACCAATGTGAATCGTGTCCGGCAGGTCCTAAACAAAACGTACTTTGGGTAAATGACCAGTAAAACCGCAGCACTTCAGACTGATGTAGTAACTTCAAGGCACCAAACTACCTGAGATTCAAGAAGACCACAACTCCTCCACAGAAAATGGTTAACACTAGCACTAAATATTGCTTGGTTAGCATCCAGGATTACGAGTCACCAAGCATGAGCGCAGCATGATGGCCTTCTGCCAAACGGGAGTATGTTTCGCAGAACATTTCTAGGTTATCTGTTGTGGACGTGTATGCACAGCAAGGACTCAGACACGACCCAGAAGCGACTTACTTCTGCTCACTAAGGTTGTACATACTAGTGCCGTTCACGCTGATTTTGGGAAAGTGAAGCGCTGTTGTGTGTCCACACCAAGAGAGTCACACGTGCCTTCAGCCAGGAATGCACACACACTGGCTCAACGCCCTCACTGAACAGAGGGGGGCGGAAAACGACCCAAGCTTTTTCATAAATGTTGGGACACTCCTCATCTGAATTTCTACCAGTGTCCAAACCGCTTACCCCGCTTACTCATGACAGCAAGTCCCGCGGGGCCTTCCGAGTGCTCATGCATCCGGACCCTCTGCTGGAAGGCTGCCGCACATCTGACCCCGACCCCAGGCAGAGCAGCTAGCTAAGGAAGACACGCGCGCGCACACACACGCTCTCTCACTTCTAACCTCACTGAGGCAGTCACAGCACCCCGACACGGGATACGCCTTAGTGACAAATTTCGCTACGCTCTGCATGTTAATAAATCCTTTCCAAACGGTGCTGAGTCGGGACAAAAAGAGGGTTGTCTCTCCTTCCGGAGGGGACCTTGACTCGGAGAGGCTGTAAAACAAAACCAGAGAAAACAGACCAATCTTTCTCTCTGCTCAATTTCCAAGGTATAGAGATGTTGTGGAATTATAAAGGCAAGAGTAAATTCCTGCAAGTTTTGGTAGCTTTTTCAAATTAGCTACTTTAACCATAATCCCACAGACATTCTGGTCAAGAAAAAACAAACTGAATAGGCAACAAACCTGAATGACCCTAAGACCACGTTTCAGTTTTCAAGATCGATGTGTTTAAAACAAGGACCAGGCATGCTAAAACCAGGCCTTCTCATGCCCTGCAAATTATCAGAATGCAGCTGTATTCTGGGTGGATCGGAGCTGAACTCCAGGCTCACCCCCACCCCGTTCCTTCGGTTAATCCACGGGACACGAGGCCCATGGCTTGCTCATGCTGCACGTGTAGCGCGCACCTGACACGCGGCGCTGGCGGCGCTGGCAGGAGGTATCTGGGCTCAGGAGACGGGGACGGCTTAGCTAGTATGGACCTGGGCACCGTCACCGAGGTCACGGCGGGCTTCAGGACGTCTTGTCGGGTTTCCGCTGGGTGGGCACCATCTGGGCGGGCTGCTGCAGGGGCCGTGACTGTACACGACCCGCTGGACGCAGTCCTGGGGTCCCGGCCAGACACCGTGACCGTGGTGAGCACCGTGCCCCCACAGGTGGCTGGGCAGGAGGGGCCCTCCAGGGCGGAGGATTCTGGGTGGCTGTCTTCTGGCGGCACGGGGAAATATTTTCTCTCCAAGTGTGTGTGAGAAGCACTTTCTAGGTCTGGCTCAGAGGCATTTTCGGGCAGAGTTTCTGGTATCGCTTCATCAGCTGAGCTAAGAACTGGCTCAGAGAGAGAGGTCTCGTACTTGGATTTTGACTCTTCCTTCTTAGAAGCTGACAACTTTTGTTTTTTTGGAGCTGGCTCATCTTCTGATGAAGGAACCTGACCTGAAAAACATAAGGAAGGCCTTCCTGAGAAATCCCACACATTCAAGAGCACAGCTTGCCTCTAAGTACATAATTTCTTATAAGAATAAAAAAATGCAACATTTTAAGATTTTATTTATTTACTTGAGAGAGTGAGCGAGCGAGCGAGCGAGAGAAGCGGAGGGAGAGGCAGAGGGAGAAGCAGGCCCCGCCGAGCAGGGAGTCCGACAGGGGGCTCAATCCCAGAACCCTGGGATCATGACCTGAGCCAAAGGCGGACACTGAACCAACCAAACCACCCAGGCGCCCCAAAAGCAGCATTATAGAGGCTAACTCCATAAACTTCAGAAAGTACGATCCCAATCAGGAGGATCCATGACTGAGGCAAAAGGAAATGAAGCCTCAGCTCCGAAGGTTCGTACCCCAGGCTGCGCTCACCTGTGCAGATTTTACAGTTGAGATCAAACAGATGAGCCCGGTGCTGACCCGTGGTGTCCTTCAGCATGCTGCTGAAGACGTCCAGGAGGGGTGCGGTGCTTTTCTCCGGCATGGCCCGCACCAACTCCTGCTGCTCCTGCAGGGTGAAGAGGGGACAGCCGAGCAAGTCACGCTTCCCTCTGTCTCCACGGCAACAGCCACAGAAGCTGCCCGGGCTAGGAACAGCCACTGGCACAAGGACGAGGAGGAGGGCCACTGCATACAGCACTTGTCACAAGCTTAGGGTCTTGCCCGATAACTCAGAGATGTAAGTACACTGGGAACAGATTACTTTTACTCCATTCTCGTTTGTTCCCCAAATCCCCAAGACTTACGTCGGAGTCAGACACGGGTGGAGAGTCCTCCATGTCGGGCACAGGCTCCTGTTTAGTGGTGGTCTTCTTATTCTCACTGTGCAGCTTATTTCTGGACTCCATCACCTGAGATGAAAAGGGCACAGAGCATGAAACCTTGTTCAGGGGGCCTCGCTCGTGCCTCGCCCATCAACTGACGCCCTGGAGACCCAGAAGGCCCAGCACCGAGCGCCAACCCCCATGGCACTCACGGGTTTGGTTGGCCGCTCCCTCCACGTGGACAGCTCTTTAGACACCAGTTCTTCTGGCTTCATTCTCACAAGTTTTGCCAAAGAGATTTCCTCACGCAGAACACGATGGAAGAGCCCCTATAAACACACATCTTTAGTTCGCTTGCTCAAAAACACTTCAGTGTCTGCTTCTAAGACACTAGAGAGAATACAAGAAAACCACAGCTGCGTGAGAAGCCTCCACCAGAAGCCCCACGGCAGCGGGACGGAGGCCTGAAGAACAGGACTGAGCCCAGCAGGGGCCAGACAACCACCGGCACGAGTCGGCTAGTTGCCCTAGCGCGCCACGCTGTACCGACTCTGCTAAAAAGACCTCAGAGAAAACAAAATCCACTCAAAAAGGTACAGAGTTACAAATAAAGGTAGCAAAAAATAGCTTCTGCCGTGAGGTTACCATGATGAGATGGGAAGTCAGACTCTGCTTCGCAGCACATGGAAGAGCTCGAGAGGCCATTGGACAGGAGGCCTGAAAATGGCGAGCCCCAGAGGGCAAGAGGCAGGGGAACCACACTGGGCAAATGACTAATGCTTTCCCAGGAACTCTCATTTCAACCCCACTGGACGAGCACTGCCCACCCACAGCTGCTGGGAGGACTCAGGCCCTCCCACCATGCGAGCACCTGCCCAAGTGGGGAGCACCGCAGGGCGTGTTCCAGACCACTTATCGTTGCTCTAAGGAAGCCCAGATCGGCGGGCTCGCTCAACTGAGGGGATGGTAAGAAGGCCGAAAAGGCTGTCTGAAGCCCAAATACAGAGATACTCATACACTTAAGAATCTGGATGTTACTTTGGAGCCAATGAAATGTTACGAATGTAACTTCACAGCCACGTTTAGAAGAGAAGCAGCTGGTGAGACCAGGCCAGGCCTGAGAGAGTGTGTGTGAACCCGCACCCCGAGCCCAGGGAAGGTGTGATGGTGGCCCTCTGGCTTGCACTGCAAGGACGAGAACTTCCAGATGCCGTGTCCCAGATGAACGCTGTGAAGTGTGCCTGGGAGACCCCAAGAGCCGGCACGCCCCGCTCTGGGCCGCCTGCACACACCTGGTTTTTGGGGTCCTTGAGGTTGAACATGATGCTGCGGTATTTGCTCTTGTAGCGGTTATCTGTGACTTGGAACAGGTTAAACATCTCCTTCTCAATGTGGAGGGCGATTTTTCCTACTTCGCTTTCTGTCATGATTAAGTCATCACTGTCGTTGACTCTAGAAGGAACAGGAACAGGCCATATGAACCACTGTGCCCGCATGGGCCTTAAAGCGTGACAGTCACAAAATGACCACACTCAACCACTTTAAGAAATCAAGGAGAACAGCCCACCTTTTCCACAAAATCTCCTTCAAGGAGCGTCTGATATTTTGCCGAATTTGCGAATTTGGCTGCGACAGGGCAGGGTTTGAGGTCCCCAGGCGTCCTGGGGCTGGAGAAGCCAAGGGCACAGAGGCAGCCGCTGGTTTCCGGACGGCCCCTGCCAACGCGGCTGAGCTGGGTAGCTTTTTGGAAGCAGCTGCGGCAGCCCCAGGCACCAACGCTGCTTGCTTGGCGGCAGGAGCGCCGGCTGAGGGGGTGGCCGAGAGCCAGGGCCGCTTGGGTCCAGGGCCCTTGAAACCCGAGGGTGACTTTTTGATGGCCACTTTGGCTGCTGCTGCGTTTGCAAAGGGTGGAGACTTCTTTGGAAGGAGATTTCTGGGCAAAGGCTGTCGGCCGCCTGCCGAGGGGCCTGCAGGAGCCATTTTCTTGGGTGCCGTGGTCCTCTCCTCCGCCCGCCTGTCCTCCTTTGTGGCTGCAAAAAAGATGTGCACACGCTTAACAAGGCCACGTTCCTGCGGGAGAGCAACTTAATTAACAAGTCCAGGAAAGAAGTGTTGCAGTGAAGTGTTGCCAGCAATATGGATGACCGTGACCACACCTTACTTCAGAAAAATATGCTTTGCTATGTATTATTACGTTAAACCTTTTACTTCAAGCAACAAACCCTAGTTATGACAAGCTTAATTTAAATCATGAACACAGCTTAAAAGCTGAAAGGCAAACTGTGCGTTAATAAAAAGATGTGGAAGAGCACTTTCTTTAAGATTCCAAGTGTCAGTTTTTGTAAACGCGAATTGAGGAAATCTCAGGACAGGTCAGACAGACACATCCCCTTAAATGGACGTTCACCTGCCCCCTGCCCATTCTTGGGGCTTCGGGAGGGCGGACCACAGGGCCTGGGGCGGCATGCAGGTGCTCATGGCCGTCCGGATCAAAGTCAAGTGGAAATGAGGACGCAGATAAAGAGGGAAAGCAGATGGGGATTTGCAGCACGGGGAAGGTCAGGCACTTGACACCCAGGCTGTGTGACCGGCGGCCCTCTGCTTGGACCCCATTTTGGGTAGAACAATAAATTAGTGTTTTTGGTCTAAACAAGAACTGCAGTAGAAAGCTAAATAAGTCAAAACCCCTCAACCTGCACAAAAATCTTTGTGATGCCGATACTTTTTCTCCAGAGAGAGAGGATGTAAAGGACTGATTATATCCACACTGTATCAGACCATCTCCATCAAGGTCTCGGGTGAGCAAGATGGCTGGGAGCCAGTGCTGCAGCCTCTTGGCCCCAGGGCCAGCCGGGCCTCCAGGGACAGAGCCGGCCAGGGAGCTGTGGCACCAGCGCACACAGCAAGGCCACAGACGGCTGCGGCTCCGCACCCCGCAGAAGGACAGAGCGAACCGGAACAGCGGGCCCAGTAAGTAAGCCAGGACACCATGTGGGGACGCCGTCTAGGGTGGCAGCCAAGTCACGGGAGGGACCCCCGGACGAACTCCCTCCCCCAGTACAGGTTTCTCTTAAACTCTGCGTGTACTAGGGAGCCTCCCAAACACCAAAATAAGGAGCTTCAACATATGCTCCGGAGATCTTCCGGGTTTTCCCAGGGATTAAAAATCATTCATTCAGTCACCAGTCACTGTTCTAATGAACGAGGAAGAAGGCCTCAAATCTGAGGGAAAAGAGGTGATCCTACCCACAGAGAAGCCCAACCCAACGAACAGTGCCCCTGAGGCCACCATGGGTCCTTGGCCATCTTGGCAGAGGGCCAGAGCCACTGCTCAAGGGCCTCCGTCCTCGAGCAGCCGGGGAGGCCAGCGCTGCAATGGGAGCTAAAGGCCCTGGCACCTCAACTTTTCCCCACTTTCAGGAGAAACACAACTTCCTCATTTCACGAAGTTTCCAACAGCGGCACTCCCACACGGATCCAAGCTAGGGACAGTGCTCCGAGTACTTTGCTACCAGGCGTCAATTTGGACTTTAAATCCTGAATCTTCAGCCCACAAAGCCCTCCAACTTCATGCATCCTGCCTGCCCCTGCCCCAGGTGGCCCGTCCTCCGGAACCTGGGGCTTGCCGGCAGCCTCAGGCCCTCCGCCCCTGGAGAGGCTGGCTCCTGCACCACATCCACTCTGCTCCCTACCACCCGTGCCCATGGTCACCGGGGGCCACACCTCTCAACGTCTCGCGTCCCTGGGAGCTGGAGTTTTAAAGAAAGCATGTGACGAAGCAATGAGAACGCCTCACAGAGTAAACAAGAGGCACACGGCAGGGACAGTGGCAAACAGGTTGCCCCCGGAGTACCGCATCACATAAAGTGTTTAAGCCTTGGGCGGTACCATACCCCAGCATTGAGAAACCACTTCTTACCAGCTCGGATTTGGCTGCAAGGTCCACCTTGCCTGGGGGATGGCTAGTTTGGGGTTAAATCAAGCGGATGGCGGTCCCGTTTCTTGAGGGAGGCTGGGGTGGGGAGGGAAAGGTGGCAGCAAGGACAGGGGCCGGTGTGGCAAGGCCCACGGCACGCGGACCTTGAGCAGCCACTGTGAGGAGTGAGGCCCGGAACCAGTTCAGTCCCTGCCCTTCTGGAAGACCAACTCTGCTGAGTGTACTTTAAGAGCACACTTAAAAAGCGGGCCTAAGGCACTTCAGAAACCCCAGTGAGGCTGGTCATGTACAGGACACCTGTGTCCACGACACCAGACACTTAAGTGGCTGCAGATGAAAAATTTAACTTTAAAAACATTTACTGCAAGGTGTCCCAATCAGAATCTAAGATCAATACTGCCACTGGTCTAACCAGTATTTCCCCACTCATTCAGCAAAAAGCCAAGTCAAGATTATTTTTAGGACATTCCCAAAATATGTGACTAAAGTGACCTTTTATCCATGAATGGTTTAATGGTAAATAAACACAATCTATTTAAAAAAGTACAGGATGGCTTTCCTTGACCATCACATTGCTATCTTATAGAACTAGTTGTTACTAGTTATAGTCAACTTCTGTTACTCCTTACCTGCGCTTTGGGAAGTACATAAACAGGCACAATTAGGTAAATAAGCAAATTATTAGTACAATGCTCTGAGACTGATGGACTCCACCAGCAAATTGGACATGATCCTCTTTTACTTTGAAATGTTTCAAATGTGCCAAAGGCCCGATCTGGCAAGTGCTACGGACACAAGCTGCATCTGGTCCCACTGCAAACCAGGGTTGCATTAGCTGCTGCCAGTGACTGACCGGTACAGCCCTGCGATGTCCGCACAGTGAGAGAAACACTAGTATTTCTAAGTAGAGCTAACATCGAGTTTGCAAATTCCTCCTCTAAATACACTGAATGTATTACACCGTGTATAAATTTACACAAGGGCAAGGAATAATCGTGTAACCAATCAGAGCACTATAGAAAAGCACACAAGGGTGTTTTCAGGAGATGGTCGATGACCCCAAATCCCCCCAGAACCTGCCCAGGGTGCCGAGAGACAGCCTGCCGGGAGCGTGCTGAGCCTATGCCACTCTGGCAGCAAAACCTCCTTTAGCTCCCACACTCTGGGGCCTGCTTGTGGGGAAGGGCAGTGCTGCCCGAGCACCGGGCCAGGCAGGACTTAACTTGCTGGGACCTCAGCAGCTAGAGGATGAAAAGCTGCCCCTGTGGGTCAGGCCACAGCCCCAGATGGAGCGGTTTCTGCTGGATCTGGCCACCTGTCTGTAATGGAGACGAGCTGTTTTGGGTGAAGCCCAGCCAAGAGCGCAGGTTCATGTGTATACACTCTAATCAGCCGCTTCCCAATGAGCACGAGACTGGGGTCTTGTCCCAGTGCCAGGTGGCTGTGGTGCTGCGGCATCGCTGGCCACTGGGTGGCACTGGCGGGCCTCCGCGGAGCCGGGAGCCCAGGTGTCCACCGGAGGAAGTGGCAGCTGCCCAGGTGAGGCTACAGCTCGCACAGCCCAGCAGCCCCGGACACCCACGTCTGGAGATGGCCCTTTACAGGGACCCGTGAGAAACCCTCAGGGCGGCGGCAAATTGCTCTAAACCTTCTGTGCTCTGGTCCTGCCCAAGCTAGTACCAGTTTACCCTAAAAATCCCCAGATGGGTCACACTGGTCTTAGGTAGGCTCACTCAATGACTGGCTGTAATAGCCAAAAAAAGAACAGTGATCTGGTGTGACAAGGTTCAGGTATGGGTGTGTCCACGGTGCAGGTGAGTCCCCAAAGGTCCCAACTGACACCACACGTGTTCCCTCCCCAATGGCTCCAAAACTCGGCCCGATTCCCACCACCAGCGACCTCCATGTGCCCCCCACTCCCACTGGATCCCAAATGCGCTGGGCAGCCGAGAGCAGGCAGACACTGCCCCACGGGCTCTACCGCAGGAAAGGCCAGGCCAGGGCTCAGAGGGCACACAGTGGGGCGCTGTGCCGTGCGTTCTGCTGGCTGGGGCGGCAGTTCTACACTCAGCCCAGCAGGACACGTGCGTAACGAAGTTTCCCACTTCCATGCTGACCGGCAAGATCTCTCCTGGTGTGAAAAGTCAAATTAACAGTAGCAAGAGAAAACCATTTTGCTTTTTGTGCCCTTGCTTGAATATTTTAAAGTGAGTTTTCCTGGAAGCATAACCAAGTACCAATTTGCTTTTGTATCAGAAAACGTGTGTAATTCCCAAATTAACACTCAAAAAAGCATAAGCTACATTCCTGATGCTCTTCAGATCAGACATCATTTTAAGGACGTCTTTATGAAGATCCCCAGGCAAACTGTCATGGCTTGGACTCCACAAAGCTTTTCTAGGCTTTTTTCTTCCTGATGTCCAATATTTGAGTGACTTACACCTTAACGGAGACACACAGAACTTGCCACTTGTTAAAAAAAAAAATAAAAAATAAAAAGGGCAAAAAACCCCCCCCAAAACAAAAAACAAGTATATACCTGGGGAAGCAAGTCACCCTTCCTCATTTAATACTTCCACACATTGTTATTTTGAAAATAAACCCAAAGCCTGATTCAGGCTGGATGGGTCATCTCTAACAGAACCGGTCAGATTGTCCTTCCACCACATGAACCACTCAGACAAAATGGGATTGAGGCCATGTGGGGAGACGGGTACCTCACTCCTCTCGACTACACGACTGGGGTCAGGTGAGTGGCCCAGTGTGTGTGCAGGACTGGATGCCGGGCCCGAGACTCACTTGGGAGTGGAGCGGCTGCTTTCCTGCAATCTCTCAAACTGGTTAACAGGCATGACCATAGTTTTAGTAAGGTGAGCTTTTAACCAGTATCGTTTGTACCCAAATTGTCTACTAGTTCACCCAACCCACCTAGGGGGCTGGGGGCATGTTAGAGAGCCCACTGACCCTTCCGTCCATCCCTTGTCCCAAAGGGTCCCATCGCGCAGAAAAGCCCAAGGCTGCTGGCCCTGTGCAAACCAGAGTTGGGGCTCTGCAGCAGTTACCTTTGCGTGCTTCTGGCTGAACTTCTCCAGGTTCTTGGCACTAGAAGAGGGCCCAGCCTTCATTTCAGCAAAACTTCTTTGGTTTGCGGGAGCAAATATAGCTATGTGCACGGGGACGCATCGTCACACTTCAAATCAAGAATGCTACAACTTAATGCAAATGCCCCTTGAAACTCATGTGCCATATTGGAGGGGTTACGGTGGCATCGTCGCAGAGAACCATGGACTCTAGAACACAGACACCACCAAAGGGACTGCCCCATAGCATGTCTTTAGACATCACAGTAGACCCACAGTTCCCAAGGTCACACGAAGTTCACTGGAGGGCAGGTGGAGGGAGGCCAATCCTGCTGGAAACTTCCAGTGGCTGCAGCACGACTAAGGGGGCAGCACTGGGCACTACTGGCAGTTTTATCTCCAACGTTCAAGTCTGTGTACACGTGAAACCTCTCCCCGACCTAATTTTCTGAAGTTAACCAGGGTTTTTTTTTTAAGCTTGTGAAAAGTCAAAGTCTGAAATACCAAGAGTATCTCTGAGCACCAAGGAAATTCCAGTCGTACGGAGAGCATCAAGAGTTGTCAAGCTACATCACCCTTCCTCAGTACATGTTTGGGATTTCCCTCTAACTGGGGGAGAGAACCTTGGTTCTGATGTACCAGGTCTGATTTGTCCCCAACCACATTTTATTGCCAATGACAACTCTGGAATAGACAGATTAAACATGGCTCACGTAACTGCTAAAATCTGTAACTGAGCACACCCAAGGATTTCCATTTCTACAAAATATTCCTGGGTCCTAGTATCCCCCCCATATTTATTATAGGAAACTGGTTTCCACTTAGGACTTCGGAAGTGTGTCTCTGGAGCCCACGCCTCTAGTTATCCTCGTGACAATCCGGGTTCTCCTTGTTCCGTTTCACAAGCAGGTGAACCATCTGTGTGGCATGCCCGTGAACTTATAGGAGAAATGCTTCTATCTGCATCAGATTGCTTTACCAAATCATCTGAGTCTGGGTGTATAAGTTGTTAGGGTTTTGCACTCTAATTCTCAAAGCTAGATGAAACTGCAGAAATCTTTTTCCAATCAAAATCTGTTCAGAATCCCCGTGTTTTAAGTCCCCTGAGCCACTTAAGGGGTCCCAGATACCAGGGATTGTACCTACGAGTATCAGAATTCCACTTCCAAACGCTAATAAATCAGGGACATTTTAGAAAAAAGTTTTCAGCCCTCTTCATGCCTTGACAACAGTGGGAGGTTGACCCAACATTGAAAAGGAACAGAAAAAAATAAGGTTATCAAAACAAAGAAACATGATGATTTAGGGAAGTAAATAAAGCGGCAGTGGCTACTACACGTGAAAAGCAGCCATACGGGAACTAGGGAGAACTGTGATCTGTGAATTGCAGCACCTGGAGGACACAAAGCATCTGCTGATCCTTTTGTAGGGAGAAGCAGATAGAGATTCCAAGTCCCTGTTTAATGGGAAGTCCCCTCACACCCTGTTCACGGACAGCTGTCCCTACCCATGACCTAAGGTCAGCAGCAGTGGCCTGGGGAGGAGAGGGAAGCCCAGGGCACCTCCCAAGCCGTGTGTCACTCCCTCAGCAGTGGCCACTATGGGCGGAGTGGGGGATGTACCCACAGACGTGGCATGTACCCAGGTCAATGTGGGAACACTTCTAACCACGGCAATACCAGCTGTACCCCAAATCTAGCCACCCCAACCCAGAAAAACATGCTCTGCAGCCAGCCAGAAAGGCAGATGGGGGTCCTTTCGGGGTCAGAGGGTTCTGCTGTGTGTGTGCAAGCTACCTGATACCCCAACTGTGAAGTGATGGTTTGGGGGCGAGGCTGCTACTCACCGAGGCTGAAGTCGGGTATTTTACCAGTGACTGGAAGATGACATTTCTGAGATAACAAAAAAGGATCAGAAGCAACTAGCTCAAAAATATGTCCCTTATGCATGCTATACATTTTGGGTCTCCATCAGCTTTGAGATGTAAATGTGCTGAAAAGGGCCATCAGTCATCTGTCCCAGCTTTCTGTCAACTGAAGCAGGTCGAGCTTCAGTGAGGAGCTGATGTGCAGAAAAGAGCAGGCAGGGGTGAAGAGGAGCTGAGAAGTAGGCCTTCTCCTGGGCCCCTCCCTCGCCTTCAAAGATGGAGTGAGGGGAAAGAACCCAGGGACAGGGGCCGTCCAGGTCCCCACCCTCCGCATGCACACTGGGAGCCTCGGGGCAGCTTTCCCAGTCTGCTGGTAGAGATGGAGCACTGTACTGAAGCCGGCCACCCAGGGCTTCTGTGGTCGCCCCACCGTTTCATTCTGTTATGTTGGCCTATGACCGACGCAGAGCACTGGAGCACAGTATTCCAAAGCGACAGCTCCCCCCCGCCCCCCGAGTGCTCACTGGTCCGCGATGCTTACTCTCAGGTATGTGCATGACTTGTAAAAGTGCTTTGTTGAAGATCTGAGACGTGCTGTTAGCATGGAAGTAGCTCAAACCACCTAAGGTGTAGCAGGGACTCATTTTAATACAGCAATCAGCTAATCCCATGATGGAAGAGCTCCCTCCTAACTTCCCCCACCGCACCCACCTCCCACAGGTTTGGGGTCACCCTCGTACTTTCCCAACCCCGTCAGCTCTAGTACGGACCTGCGGGAACGCGTGGCCGCAGGAGAGGGCAGCACACGCCTACGGTCTTGGAATTTAAAGCTACATGGCTTTTGATACTTTTGTAAAAGGCACAAAACAACATAAAATACAACATGATTTAAAACTGAGTGAAAATAATCTTAACAGTAAGATGTATCCTATGGATCAATTTAAACTTCCAAATTTAATTTTGGAGTGCTTGGCTGAGAAGCCAGAATGGAGAGAAAAGACCCAGCTGCATGATCTAGAGCAGGTCCCTATGCAGCTGTGGGAACTGTCTGGGGGCAAGGGGGTCTGGCCCGACAGTGCAAGCCTCCAGGAGAGGGTCAGGTCCCAGTCACTGTGGGCACTCTCCCTTCAGGGAGGGCACTGTCCCGCGGGCCAGCACATCACACTCACTTACCTTGGAGCATATGGAGCAGCAGTAAACAGCCTTCAAAACTTGCATGTCTCTGTGTGTGTGTGTGTGTGTGTGTGTGTGTGTGTGTGTGTGTGTGTGTGTAGTATTTGAATTGCACACAAAAAAAATTCCTGTTGGATCAAAAATAATGTAATTCCTGAAAAATCACACTTAAGTTGAGTATCAGGTGCGATACTATCTGCAGAAGTGGATTCCCATAAGAAGAAAGTGAGGCCTCCCTGTGCGGACAGCAGACGAGGTGGAGAGACTCCTAAGCCAGTGGGGCCAAGACAAGCCTGCAAGGGCCGTGTGGCCAGAGTCTGGATGCCAGGAGCACGTCTACCCAGCGTGACCTCACCAAAGACCACACAGATACTTACCAGAGCACGACAATGAAAATTAAGGAGATTAAAGAGATTGGTTGCCAGGTGAGACATTTACCAATGAGGTTTGTACAGCTTTTTGAGGTTTGAACTGACAGGAAGGGCCAACAGACTGAGGAGGTGCATAGGGCTCGAGGCACGTGGGGCTCAGGCATCTGCTTCTGTCTTTGCAGGTGCAGCATTAAATATGGCTAGAGCTCCTGGTCCTGAACAGACCCGAGTGATGGCTGTCCAGAAAGACCAGGAAGGGTCCAGACGTTACCCCTAGGTGATACATACATTTATACAACAGTGGCGGCCAGAGGGCAGCAGTCTGTTCTGGCTTTACTGCATTGTAATTGTGGTCGCTTGCCCAGGACGGCGTGCCTTCACTGGTTGCTTCCTTCATGAGGACCTCACTCCTCGACGGGGCCACCATTGCCTTCTTCACGGTGTTCTCTTTCTTGTCTGGAGCCGGTCTCTTGTGCATAGCAGAGATTCTAATGCCTGCCTGGATAACCAGTAAAACCCCAATCGTTAAGGAGGCCAGAGAGAAGCCTTCGCTCCTCACGCTTCGCAACGAAGGTCACAATACGCTCTATAGTTGGGGTCACTTGAAGCCCCTCGCCACCCTGACCTTGGGCTCAGCATCTGCTCAGCAGCAGGGCTGGGCTACATGTGCACATCCAAGAGATGTGGACGGACGGACACAAACAAGGACCTGGGTGCCAGGCAAGCTTTGTGGCCACTGGGAGACCGGAGGGACACGGTGCCCCGCCGCCTCTGCCCGGTGCTCGGCGTGGTCGGCACAGTACTCTGCACAGCAGCAACCGCCGCTCTGGGGGTCCTGAAACTCCCAATCACCAGCCATAAAAGTTACGCCATCTAAAGGCCAAGCAAGCGCAGAAAAACCTGGAGAGGGCTTCCCGAGCAGCACCGCTTAACGCCTTGCTCATCACAGATGTAATGGGGGCTGCAACGCAGCCACACCAACCTGAGCTAAAACTCTGGGTGAGGGCCTCGAGGGTCAAACAAGAGACTTCCCAGGTCACACTTAGCACAGGAGAGAGAGAGAGTTCTGTGAGCTAGGTTTCGAGGCGAGGCACACAGTCTGGCCACCCAAGACCCACCCCCCACCCTCGGCGGCTTGCAAATTTCTGACAAACCCCACCTCTTCTCCCGGGACTGTGGGTCCCGGATGGAAGGCTCGGCTCCCTCGCCTGCCGCACTGCGGTCAGCACGAACGACGCCCTCCACGAGAGCGGGGGCAGCATCAGAGTGCACGCCTGCGTGGAACTCTTAACAGGGAAAGCGTGGAAGGCTGGAGAAGTGGGTGGGTACCACCGGCGCTCCGTCTGTGCCTGCTGTCCCCCACGTGCCACAAACCAATCAACTGCACCTGGTGCAACATGCAGGCCCCTCTCACTGCAACAATTCAAACGGCTGGACTTGATCAACTTACCTGAACGCTACATTTCGGGAGAATGAGCTTTTCTGGCTTCGTCTTGGTCTTTTCTTTCGGTTTTGGTTTTTGTTCTTTTCCTGAACTTAGAAATCTCATTGTAGCAGCAGCATGTTTGAGAATACAGTCGCTGCTGCAGTAAACCGAGTCAGGCTGCGCCAAGTTAGAGCACCCAGGGCCAATACACTTTGAGGCACCAGGAGCCTCTGCAACCTGCAGAACAAAACACGTGGCTTCAAACAACATACTTACCAACTCGAGCAGTGTCAGTACTTCGTACAATTCCTATTTACGCTACTGGCCTCGCTAGTTCTAATGGAGACGCTAACAGCATTTTTAATACCAATAAAAACATGTCTTTGTTTCTATCCCATGGCAAGGCACTCACAGTAACTACACTTTACGCAACCTGTGGCGGGCAGAGTTGGGAGGCGGCCCCAGGACTCTGCCCTGGCACACAGGCTCTGGGGACTTTTCAACACAATGGGGTTTCACATCCATAATTAGGTTCCATTGCAGGGCAAACAGGGAGTTCTGCAGGTGTAATCAAGGTTCCAAATGAGACAACTCTGAGCTATGGAAAGGGTCTGCTTCATCAACAGAAAATGTCAGAAGAGGGACTGGGACTTGCAATAGAGAAAAAACTCCACTGCTGATTTTGAAGAAGCAAGCAGCCTTGCGAGGGAGCTCCGGTGGCGAGGGTCTGAGGGTGAGCTACCAGACGCAATCCAGGAACACCCGTTCAATGTGCATCTCAGAAAAACACGGGTGACTTTTAGCACTGCTGAGCCCCAGACATGGCACAGGGCACATTTAGACACAAAACCACTGGAGCCTTTCAGAAGTAGATTCCTCCCCAACCGAGCCATCTGATGAGACCCCAGCCTACAATGGCACCCGGGTGCCATCTCTTAAGAAACCATGGAGAGACCCGGCTAAGCCAGGCCCAGGCTTTGGACCCACGGAAGCTGATCTAATTAATAAACGCGTGTTGTGTGAGGCTGCTAAGACACGCTCACTGTTATGCAGCGAGAAGGGTCCAGAGAGGCCTGACTCATCCTCAAATGTACTTGAGCCAAGTCTTATTCCTCCAGGTATTCTGAAACTGCTCTTCTTCCACAAAACCCAAATCTGACCAAAAATAAAATCTAAGCTCATGCAGCCTCAAACATCAAAAATAAAGACATGAAATTAAGGTGACTTTGCCCATTGTCCCATTTCCACTAATTTTTCTTAATGACCAAACGCGATACAACAGTTAACACCACATCCCCACGCAGTACCTCCTGACATCTCCAGGCTACTGCTTCAATGGTCTGGACCCCACAGCACCTCCACCTCGAGACTCCCACAGCCCTCAAGGCTCCTGTATGCCCAATGCCTGCTAAAGCACAGACCTCCACTTCACGGCCGTCTAGGGACTCAGGAAGGGCTGGGGGGCACGCTCATGAGAGCCTGTGACAGTGTTCCTCAACATCAGAAGCTGAGGACACAGGAGAGATGCAACAAAGAACCATGCCCCTACCAGAGCGCGCCTGAGACTGTTCCAGACGGTGACACCAGCAGCAGCTGTGGGAGGTGGCTTGGATGCCAGGGATGAAGTGGTGTGTCCCCCGCCCAGCCCCCCTGCCCCGGGAGGCTCAGAGCACCAGCTCCCTCAGGATGACGGGGTCAGGTCAAACGTGTACTTCCTTTGTTAATATGTGTATGTGAAGGTCGACATTCCAAAAAGAACATTTAAGGAAAAACTAAAAAATGAGTCCATTTAAGGAAAACATTAACTCGGTACTAATAGTATTGGAAGCAGATAAGACTTAAAGAAAGAAAGGTCCCGGGACGCCTAGGTGGCTCAGTCAGTTGGACGACTGCCTTGGCCTCAGGTCATGGCCCCGGGGTCCTGGGGTCGGGCCCCTTGGTCAGCGGGGAGCCTGCTTCTCCCTCTCCCTCTGCCTACTACCCCCTGATTGTGCGCTCTCTGTCAAATAGTGTTTTAAGAACAAAACAAAACAAAGGAAGGTCCCTCCTGGTGTCCTGCAGGACTGTGGGGTGCGGGAGGCCCAGGAAGCCATGAGCAGGGGACGGCCTGCTCCCAGAGCCCAGCCCGCGGCACGCACAAGGCCGTCTGGAGGGAAGAACCCAACCTGCTCCAAAGAAAAACCAAGTCCTCGGGGCTCGACTCCCCCGCTGACCCTCCATCACTGGCTCGCACAGAAGTACTCACAGGCTGGAATATCTTGAGCTTTTTCTTGCCACTTGGGTTCGCGGCTTTCTCGATCCTGCCCTTAATGCCCTGGTCTTCGCTGCACTTGTGCTCCACTGTCCCCATGCTCGTACAGTCGGTGCCATCCGCGCCCACCGGCCCGCACTTGGCCTCCTGCTGCCCCGCGCTTCCTGAGTCTGGTTCGTCCTGCACCTGCAGAATGGTGCAGTTTGGGCAGATGTAATCTTCACCGTTCCTTTCCAGAAGCCGTCCCCGGGCCTCAGAGATGCCCACACAATCGCCGTGAAACCATTCTTCACATCGGTCACAGCAAATCATAAACCTAAAATTATAAAATACCGGCATTAGGAATGGAAAACAGAATTTAACAACTTCAGGATTAAAAGCTCAATCGGTGAACTGGTTTTAACTCATTATGAAAAAAAGCAAAATAAAAAAAAATTGAGAACAGAATGAAGAACATTCAAAAGCCCTTCTCTTGACTTTATTAGCATTCAAACAAATTTGTGTCTTTTTTCTTCCTGAGGGGAGCACTCTGAGAGTGAGCTGCAGGCTGACCAGCATTCCAGCCTGGAGACCCTGCACTCGTCTCCACAGACCAGCACACTCCTCTGTCCCGCCAAACACCCCCGGCGGTAGCTCCCCAATACCACCCAGCACCCAGACAGGCTCTGGATGCTCAAACTGCAGCCCGATCGCAGCCCGCTTGCTCATGGGTGCTCCTCCAGGACAGTCTGGAGTGGCACTATGCAAGAGACCCCCAGGAGGATGGGAGCGCCTCAGTCTGTGCTGTCTCATACCGTCCCGTGGCAATGGGGAGCCCCCTACGGCTACAGGAAGTCATATGGCTACCCTTCTGGGGCTTCTTTTTTCATCAACACCTCCTCTTTCATCCTTTCCAACTGCGTAAGTTACTCATGCAGCCCAGCTCTAAAACGCGTCCCCTCAAAATGAACAGAACCTTCCCTTGCTGTTTTCACGGCCTGGATCTCTCTGGAAGCTGGGGGCCACCGGCACCCCCCAGGCTGTGGCCTACCTGTTGTTGTGTGGCTGACGACATATGCAGTACAGAGCATTGGGCTCGTAGGCCTCACACTCGGGCTTCTGCCGGCCCACGTCCCCGGAGTCTCCGGTTCCCTGGGCCTTCCCTTCCAGCTCCCTTTCTCCACAGTCTTTCTCGGCCTGGGACACCGCACCCTGCTCAGCCTCGGGCTCCTGCGTGTGGGGCAGCACGCTCTCCGTGGCGCCGCCCGCCTCCACGTCCACGGTCTGCGGGGCATTCTGCTCCCGGCGCTTCCTCCTCAGGCGGCTCTGGAGGCTCTTGGGGGGCCTGCCGGCCGCCTCTTGCTCCCGCTGTCTCCGCAGGCGGTTCTGCAGTTCCTTCAAAGTCAGCCCGTCGCTGTCGCTGTCGGAGGTGTCGTCCTCGTCCTCACCCCCTTTGGCCTTTGCGGAGGCGGCAGGCCGTCCCTTGTCAGCCGCAGAGCCCGCCGTGGGCCCGCCCTTCCCCTCGGAGGTGCTCTCCACACTGCCTTCGGACGCCGTCTCCACGTCTGTGACGGGGCAAGACGCTGGTTCACCCGAATCCTCGAGCGAGGCAGGCACATTCTTCCTCCCTCGTCGTCGGACCGTCGTCAGAAATTCTTCCACCCGCTCGGTCCGCTTCGGCTGCCTCCCGCTGCGGCGCAAGGACAGGCTCTGCTGCTGCTGGGGCTGCCGCTCTAGACAGTCGGCCTCAGCGTCCCCAGCGCCCTCTCGCTTGGCAATGGTGGTTCTTCGAAAGCCCCATGTTTTCCTGAATTCTTTGCTGGTGGGCTTGATGGCCTTGGGCACTTCGTCATTGCTCAGGTCACCTTTCTCATCCATATCTAACGGTGAAATGGAACCACACCATGAGCAATGTTAACGAGGCGACACTTCTTAGCAAATAATTAACAATCCCTGAGCTACAAGTACACACAGCCTTTAATTCACACAAAGGAGGGAGCATGGCCATGGATAAACAACGATTTTCTACCTACACAAAGTGAAGGTGAACATTCAAATGACTTATCTTGATCAAGGTTTCTTAAAAGGTAGCATGAGAGAAGATCTGAGGGGACTCCGGACAGAAGTCTCAACAGTCACCCATCTAACGTTCAGTGCACACCTGCAGCCAGCAACTCAAACCCGTCTCCCCTCCAGCACTTCGCTGCTCAGCACAGGGCTCCACCACAAAGGGGGTCAGGGAAGCCCTGTCCAACGGTGAACAGCATACACGGTGCAAGGGCATGAGGAGAGCAGGGCTGCAGTGCCGGGAGGTGCCGTGTACCTGTCCCCGCCCAACACCCTGGGCACAGAGGGTGGAGTGCGAGGGTGGCTCGAGGCCTGGTGCAGAGGAGGACTGGCTGCTTCCATCCTGGGCTGAGGAGCCCTGAGTTGCTAAGTGGTCCGACCACCCTGCTAGAGAGAACAGCACCCCGCACCCCAGCCCTGCTGCGAGCTGAGTGCAAGTGTCCCCTATGGACACCTTGTGGAGATAAGGGATCACCCAGCTAAGCCTTGCCCAGATTCCTGAGCCCCGACTCGGGGGTTAGCTGTTACGCAGCAACAGGTAACTTGGCCACTTTAGAAAATAATGATGGAGAATAGCTTTATGTGCATTTGTTCTTTCTCACTTTCTGACAGACTATTAAAAGATCATGCTTGTGAAAACTCAACTCTTTTTTCAAACCTGAAAAAGACAGTATATACCTTGAAATTTTTTTTTCAAAGCTAGCCAGGCTTCAATTGCATTGAAACACTAATGCTGATTCAGCCTTTACGCCACATTCCGTCGTAGGGCAAGGACAGTGATGGGGTGAAAACCTTCAAAATACAAAATACACAAAATTCAAAACCACACACAACCAGACTGTTTTTTGTTTTTTCTTTTATTTCCCATGACGTGCTGTCCCCCATTTTCCTGCTGGCTCGACCAACCCTTCCCTCCAGAGCCTGGCCAGCATGCTCCCAGGCCATTCGGAAGCTTACAGGAGTGGCTGGGACATCAGCATGTGTGCCAGCAAGGACCACACCACTTTTCTGGTCCTGAGATTTTGTGCAGGAAGAACTCTCCTCAACAAAACATAGTTCTCACCGAAGAGAGTATACAACGTCAAGTACTCGCACCAATAAAATGCCAATGGAAAAATAAGAGTGCCTTGAGTAAAAATTCTCAGCATGTGGCTGAACACTCGTCTAAACACTTAGGGCTAAAGTTTAGAATATTCTAAATAAACAAATATGAACGTTACACCGTATGTTTGTCACACAAAATGCCACTTCAAAAACAGAACACACAATTTCAAACCTATTAAGAGAAAACCGTGTTGCTGATGTTGCCACTGGTGCTGCATTACCTGCCCCGACACTGAAGGCTCGGACACCTTTTCCAGAGGTCCAAGTGCCTGACGATGGAATCGCCTGGTCCACAAACACAGCCCCACCTCAGACACCGCTGCTGTCAGTCACTGCTCACAGGTAACAATAAAGATCATCTCAGGACTGTTCCCACGGAGTAAGCTCCTAAAAGAAAATAAAAAAATCATTTATAGATTCAAATAACCGTAAAAAAAAAAAAAAGGGCATCAGACTTTCCAAGAAATCTATTACTTGAGCGTATGTTATCATGTGGCCCACTCGGGGAGTCAGGAAAAAAAAAGAAGAAAAGGAAAGAACATAGTCCCCTTCTTTAAGAAGTTTCCCTTCTGCAGAAGGGAAGGCACTGTGACTGCACCCTAACAGAAGGTGGCCAGGCTGGGCCACTGAGGGGCTGCAGGTACTGGCAGGTGTGTGTTTGGCGGGGTGGGGGGGGGGGGCTGCCGCTAACTGTGCAGAGGCCTCAGCAGCATGGCGGTTTCAAAACCAGTCGCTGGTATCAGCTGCTTTCCAATTATGATCCTACTTTTGAGATGGGCTCAGCTCGATAAAGCCAAACATAGAGAGAAACACAAAACATGAAAAGGCTGAACAAAATCATCCACGAAGAGAAGTATTTAAAAATTCTTAATAGTGGAGATACGCCACCATTTAGTTAAAAGCCCAAAAAAGATTTCACAAGACTAATAATTACTTAACATCGATGTGCTACACTTCATCTACATGAATTTAAAAAACAGTTCTCCTAGATTACAGTCCTGCAAAAAACCATACCTAGGTGAAACGCACAGTGAACAGGCGTCTGTTCCTGGATAAATCCTCCATACGGATCTTTTCACGTTTCACACTCTGGCCCCGAGTGCCCCTCTCCAAGCCCCTCCCAAGCTGAGCCCTCACCTCCACCTCCCTTGCCCTCTGGGTGGGTACTACAGCTGTGGTCTCCTTAGTGACCCCAGAACAAAGACAAACATTCTGAGGCGGCTCCTCTTAAAGAGACAGCGTCCATTCCACTCTGATTAGCCAAATCCACCATCATGGCCACCAAATCTCTCAAATGTGGTAAATGCATCTCAAATCAAGGCTTCAACGTTCAGATGCCTTTACTTCTCAGAAGAAACTAAAAATAAACTTTATCTTTATATTTCATAACACTGTGCATTTATAAAAGCAAAGAAATTAAAACGTACTTAGGAATGAAAAATTTAAATACACATTAACCTGAGAAACACATTTCTGGATTTGAGTTCTGAATAATAAATTTTTAAAAAAGGAAAATGGAAAATCTAGTTATTTCTGTGTGTGGGATGACATACAATATACTCAGAATAGATCCAATCATTCTAGATCATCTGATTCATTTATCTCGATTTTATCTTTGCAAAATTGATGTTTTGATAATTTCTTCAACATTGAAATTCTAATAAAAATTTCAGCAATTCAACAAAAGAGCGTGTATCAAGACAAAAGAACAAAAACCCATGTTGAGTCCCTAACAAAACTTGGATGTGGTGTGTGGTTGTACACCACACAGTGCGTGGCAGGAAGGATATGCTCAGGAACCTGCAATCACAATGTGGTAAGAAGCGCTTTCCCCGGGAAGGAAAAGGAAGGTGACCATCCCTGAAACCAGGAACACAAGAACAATCTATGAGCACGGAATGCACTGAAATAATGTAAAATTATGTTTCCACATTTCTCAGTGCGGTATTTTTTCTCAGCTGCAAAGTGCTCCATTTCCCACTAACCTGAAGTTGGACGCTGTGGAAGCTCACATCTAAAGACGCACACACAAGCCAGAGCCTCCCAACTGCTCTGCTCACAGCACAAGCATATGGCCAGGAAGAAATTTAGAAACAGGCAGCCTTTCAAATGTTCCACTCTCAGGGCTCCTTTATACTCTTAAAAACGGAGGGCTCCAAAAAGCTTCTGTTTATGTGGAATAGATCAGTATTTTCGAAATTAAAACTGAGAAAGTTTTCAGGTAACTGTGGATGTTCTTTGACGTCAGGCCGAAATTCAACAAATAGTAGTTTCCTAAGGAAAGCTGCAACATGAAGCCCGAGACCTGACCGCGCTTTCTGTCGGGGAAGCCACTGGTCTGTCCTGCACACCCTCGGAACGCACCATTTTACCCGTGCATGGTGGTCACGTTGCTGACTGACACAGAGTCCACGTCAGCACACTTCACCACAACACAGAAGACACACAGTCGTTAATGCCGGCACCCACCTCCTCAAATGTCCTTTTTTTTCTTTTTAAAAGATTTTGAGAGAGAGACCAAGTGAGACAGCACGAGCGGGGGAAGGGGAAGAGGGAGTGGAAGAAGCAGGGATCATGACCTGAGCCAAAGGCAGACACTTAACTGACCCGTTGGGAGCCACCAGGGCACCCCTCAAATGTCTTTAATCACTGGAAAGCCATCAAGCCCGTGACAGCAGATGTGAACTTTTCAAAATTGTAATTTTCACCTGAAAGCTCAAATTTTATCATTAGCAAGGAACACTGTCAGCTGCTTTCCCTGAAACTCAGGTCATTCCTCTCTGAGAAAATGCCTGCCAAATACTGGGTCTGAAAACCGGAGCCTGTCCATTCTTTTCAGCACAAGGGGTGTTCCATGAGAGGGTAGCTGGTTTGGCACAGGGCTCCTCCTGGAGAGCCACCCTGCTTTGGGGTACAGAAGTGCTTCATAGGTACTTGCCATTTCATTACAGGGAATTTAAAGCAAAGGGACGGGACACTGGAGTGATGAGGTTCAACTGCGCTCACGAGGTCTTTGCTGTCTCTGCAAGGACATTCTCGGGGGAAATGGCAAATTTTACATGACCGACTGGTGCTGAGCAGTGGACAGCACACCGTACAGGGAAATGCCACTGTCTGGACCAGCTTCTGCAGGCCACTGCAGATGTCCACTCCGTGAGAAGGCTGACAACATCACTGGTACCACGCAGAGCTGTGACAGCCCCAGGGATCCAGGAAAACACACTGCGAGAACTTCATTCCACTCCTATTAGTTAAGCACACCCTGGATACGTGCAAAGCAATAGCACATCTCTGTGCTTCAGGATCAGAAGGGGCCAAGCATTTCCTCCCACAAAATTGTTCTAACACCACTAGATTCTCCCTTCGGATTCTCCAACTTTTCAAAATATTCTCCAAAAATTCAAAATATTAAGCTACCAGATGTAGTTTCTTAAAAACAAAACCCAAAATATAATACGTTACTTAAAAACAAACCCCCAAAAAACAGCTGTTAAGTGCCAGTGATGCAGGACTCTAAATCCTTATAAATCTGAAGGTGCAACTTCCAGGATGCATGCACACCAGAAGTGACGCTGAGGTGCCCACCATTTAAAGATCTCTGGTTCTACACACTTGAGGGCGGCTTCTCTAAGACGCGAGCTGAGCAACCATAAAGCAGCTCCTGTTTCCGCAGCAGGAGGAAACAGCCAGGACCGCCTCCCAGGGTAACACAGGAGGGCGCATCCGCCCCACCGGGGGCCAAACACCGTTCTCCAAATCTCCTACCCCACAGCAGTATTCAAGAAGAACAATTTTAACCTGCCACCAGAAATTACACACAATGTTACAACACAGCTTCGCTGTTTCTGCCTCTGTTAATTGAGAATTGGAAATTCTGACAGACCACGCCAAAGTTTCTATTTTGTACTGAGGGTCCAGTGTCTCACAACTCACTCTTCCCTGTGGATGATGAAGGTTGAGAAGATGCAAAATTCTACAAAAAAAGGGAAGATTTCCCAACTGAAGACTCATTACTAGAACCGTCCCTAACAAGCACCTGGCCGGAAGGTTCGGACGACGCAGCGGCCCCGCAAGCACCAAAGTTGTCCAATCACCAGCAGCAGCCGCCTCTCCCTCTCCTCACAGACCCTGAAGGTCCACCGCAGCAGCAAACACCCCACTGTGCTCTGACCATGGACAGAAAAGAGGTTTGGGTCCACAAAGTAAACTAAGAAATCCACTTTTATTTATTTGAACACGTACACAGAACCGGACTTGACTGTGTTAAAGCTTTTATAGCTAATTCAAAGTTTTGCTGCTACCAAAAAACACTGTCATTGTTAAAACTATTCTGATCAAGGGAAGGTGTCCCCAACATAAGTTTCTCAGGAAATGAATATAAAGAGAAATCTAGAAACCACCCTGTTTAAAATTTCTTAGTACTTTGCTTTTACACATACGTGGAGAGAAGCAAAAGCTGCTACCTGAAAGCCTCCTGGGAACCGAGGCCCAGCCAGGCCCTGGTGTAAAGCTGGGCCACCAGCTCAGCGTGGGTGAGCAACGGGCACTGGTTTCTCTCTGTCCAGTTTCTGTTGCAGAACACAGGCTCGTGACCTTGGTGGGCAACTCTACACGGGCGTCAGGAGCCAGAACAGCCACATTGCATCTACAGAGGTTAAGGAGCAGGAAAGGAGGTTATCACTGTTCTGTTTCATGGTGCGGACGGTCTCCTAAACTGCTACCTTGGACGGCTTTGGCCATGGTCTGCATTGTGTGCCCCAGCCCCTGAAATTCACATTGAAACCTAGTCCCAAGGTGACAGCACTACTAGGAGATGGGGCCTTTGGGAGGTGCCTAGCTCGTTAATTCAAAGCCCTCATGAATGGGATCAGTGCTCTTAAAAAGAGCCCCAGAAAGCTCCCTTGCCCCCTGCAACCCTGAAGACACCTCACCAGGACCTGACCATGCTAGCACCCTGATTGTGGGCCTCCAGAGCTATAAGAGATATGTTCTCTATCAGCCCCCAGTCCATGGTCTTTTGTTAAAGCAGCCCAAGCGAACGGAGCCAGCTCCCGTTGTGTCTCTGAACACAAACATGGTCTCAAGCACTGCAAGGGACGGTAGGAATCCTACATCTTGGGGGACTGGTGCTCCTAAGACAAGGCCACCGCCTGGCTCGTGGTGACCCTTTTAACTGGACAGGTTTTTGGGCTCACTGAAAAATCTGCCCTATGCGACAAGTTTGTCTACTGCTAAATACCCAAGAATGACATTGGGATGGGTTCCCAGAGTCTCCTCCCCTGCTTCCCCAACAGAGAGGAGGAAGAGGGTGCGGTATGTGTACACTCCCAGAGGGGATGAGGGCACCATAAGTCACTTCCCAGGACAGTGTGACATTAAGGTGCCAGTCATCCCTGCTAAGCACTTTGGGGGCTGTTTCCCCTCAGACTGAGTTTCTAAGTCCTGTAGCTGTTAAGAACACTGATCTTCCAGGGAAGACCCCTGCCCAACTGCCTATGTGGGTGGCTGGCTGGCACTCCCTTCTGGCACCAATGCGGGCACGGCCGCAGGACCCCGCACCCTGTTGTGGTTTCCCGGGTTCATGCCACGGGACGCCGGATCGTTCCACAGTCAATATAGGCCATGCTCACCCCCACTTTCCCTGCAGCAGGAATTAAGGAGCCAGTGAAACGCTGTGTGTAATGAAAGGATACCCTACAACCAATGAGAAGGGCCACTTACATGCTCAGACTGTAGTCAGGCCACATGACCTAAGGCCAAAAGAGGTCTCAGGGCCTTCCCACCCAGCCAGCACCCTGGCCACCTTGCTTCCTTGCAGGTGGTCTGCTGGAGGGAGAGGTGTGCACTGGAACGACAAATCACCCTTATTCCACACTCTTTGCAAAAAGCAAACACACAGCTGAGCCAATAAAATTTCAAAGACATTGTCCATCTTCCTAAAGTAACCTATTTCCACAGGTTTGTTAAAGTTTAGAGTCAACTATTTTGTAAAGTTCTCATTTCTCAACAGGAGCAATTCTAATCATAATCAGAAGTTCTCAAAATGTGGTCCACAGGACTTTCAGGAGGTCCCTGAGGTCAAATTATCTGCACAAACACAAAAGACATCGTATGCCCCTCTCCCTGGCCACTCGCAGGAGTGTACTGTAGAGCTTTCCAGAAGCTAAATGACAGTGATGTTACCACAGTCTACGTGATGTGAGAATCCAGCTGTTGTCAGTTTAGCCAGAAGTCAGGAGATTTACTAAAAGAACCACCACCATAAAACAAAACTACGCTATCTCTCCTACTGTTTTTGTCTTAGAAAAGAGTTTCTATACAATGTTACATTGTGTTACATTGTTACAATGTGTGAGGTTTTATTATTTAAAAATAAGTTTACCAGTCTCCGTTTTCATGCCAAGCCCAGTAAATACTAACAGATGTAACAACTTAAGCTAAAGCTCTGAAGTGTCCCAGTAACCACAGGTGTGAAAGAGGATCTTCAGTTCACAGGTAACCTTACAGGACTGCTCTTGAAAGGCCAAAAGCAGTTCCAGGCCCTTCCCAGTAAGACCAAGAGGTACCTCCACACCCTGCCCCTGTCCTTCCTCAACCACAGTTTCAAGTGATTATGGAGAAGGCGCTTATTTCCAATGATGAAATGGTAGCCTCACACAGCCACCTGAATTCAAAGACAACAGGCCTTGTCTCCCAAGCACCTGTTTCGTGAGTGGTGCTGTCAGAAATGCAAACCACAGGCTGGCCAAGAGACAAGAATCATGACTGGAAACCTCAAGTCAAGAAGTCACTGCGTTTCACCAGGAGCCTTCCTTTCTTTCCCTGAGATTAGCAGAGGCCAATGTCTAGTTCTGTTTTGGGGGGTAGTGGACAAGGTCCGAGATTAAATAAAGAAGTTATAGAATTAGGGTTCACGCAGAGCAGAATTTGAGTGAAGCCTGTATGTCCTGCAACGTCAGACTCTCCCTGCTGCACGTCTGAGAAGGGAAGAGGAAGGGTCTCTTACTCCACGCTGTGAAAAGGAAGACCATCTAAATCACAATCTAACAAACCCAGAGGGTCCACAGCCAGCGTCTACTAGCCCTGTTGTCTCCATGGGGGGCCGGGGCATCTGGTGGGGCATCCCAGTCCCATCCACAGCAGCCAGCAGTGCCCCCCACCCCAGGTGCAAGTGGGGTAGTTCTTCTGATCAGCAGACTGCGGATGGGAGGCTCCGGGGACAGCACAGCAGATGACGAGAACACAGGCTTCACCCCCAGCTGCAAACCTAACAGGCAGACACGCTGAACAAGCGCGCTTCCCTCTGGGCTGTGCTTTCTTTCCTGCCTGGGAAACGTGGACAACTGTGAGCTCCCAGCTTCCTAAAAGGCTATGTGAAACTACACCCTGTCAAGGGGCAGTCCGTGCTTGCACAGGGCACGCAAGCGGTAAGCGGTAGATGTCATCTATTAAAATGACAATGGCCGTGTCGGTGAGCATTTGGGGAGACAAGTCCTCTTATGAGAGTCGATTTGACAAGTATTTACCAAGATCCCCTTATGTACTTGGCATGGGGCAGAGCAGGCAACATTGCTGTTCCCATGGACCAGGGGTGACACACCTCACTGTCACTTGGCTGAGAGAACTGGGAAAGGACAGATACATTTATAAGAGCGCTCCCAGCCACACTTTAAAAAAAACAAAAAAAAACAAAGGGACACAAGCCAATGTCCATCACCAGGACACTGGTTTGGGGGAACAAAATCAAGAAACATCACATAAAGGAATTCTTTAAGACCGCAATTGAAGGATGATGAACCACAGAGCCACTGCCATGGCAAGAGTCCCACCTGAGTGGGAGTGGAGAGCACAGGACCCAAGTCAGCCCTGCACAGGGCCACACACGCCCACCATGTTCACAAACGGGAGCAGCTGTGACATGCGCTTCTGAATGGGACCATTTCTGGTGTTGGCTGTTTTTTTTTTTTTTTTTCTGGCTGTTTTTCTTATATTGCTTTAATTTTCTGTATATGTATTTGTAACCCAACACACGGTAAAGCTATCGTTATACTGGAGGGAGGAGCTCATTCACTTTCTTATAAAGGCGTATTAAACACCGTTTAAAAGTCCGTATCAACATATGAAAAACAAAAACACAGCATCTAAGTTTGATACCCAAAGATATATCTGCTTCACAAGTAACACACAGGATGATCACCACCTGATTAAGCATGTTTTACAGTCATGGCTACAAGAATTCTTATTCAAATACGTACAATTACCTATTCAATTTCATGTAACAACTAACCCCCCAAATCACTACTCATTATAATAAAATAAGGTCTAAGCAAGAGAAACGCTTCTCCAGTAGTGGGGGCACCTAGAACAAGTGAGCTCAATTCAGACCATTTTTTGACCCCTCTTTCCCAATTAGTGTGTTTCTAGTAACTGTAAACCACAGAGACTTTGTAATGGAATTAACACCCATCATTTGATACGAAGCATGAAAAAGGGGAATATTAGATATCCACTCTAAGGGGCCCTACCATGTAAATAAGAAGAAACAGGCGAGAAACTCCATCTAGGAAAACACCCTTCTTAATGGACTTCCTGAGTCCACGGGGCCTGTAAGAATCAGGCCTCTATGACAGACAGTGCCCCACTGCAGGGACCCAAGGACAATGGTGATCTGGCCTAACCTGTAAATATGCCCCATCTCTGCTCTCCAAGAGCTAAATGGAAATCACCAGTATCACTGAATGAAAAGTAAAACATATCATGTCAACAAAAATAGACAACAACCAGAACCTTGAACACTTGCAAACATACACCAAACCAGAAAATAAACCAGTCCCTGAGCTGCTTTGGAACAGACTCTTTGTGAGTTAGACACCCAATGGGAGGAGAAGGACTTACAGCGTCAACAGCAGGACCTGAAAACTCCACCGCCATAAGATAACGGGAGACGGAAGTCCCTACTCCAACCCCCCACCCCCGGACAAACCCCACCCACCACAAGGCCCACCTGAAACCCCAAGTTGCACCCACCTCCAAGCCCCAGCTACACATTTCCTCAACAAGCCATTGTGATGCTCACACACGTACACACTGTGTGTGTCACTGTTTGACAGGACAGAAATCAGTAACCGTGGGTACCAGCAGACAAGAGCAGAAGAGAGTAGCCAGTTACACAACTTGTTATTGGTGCCCTTTCTTCCTATCAGTACTGAACTTACTTTGTTGAAATAACCTGAATTTAATCAAATACTAACAAGGGAGAGCTCTTAGTGGAAAATCAGAAGTAAAGATATGCATTATTCCTAAATTCGTTGTTAAAGTCTGCAGGAACGCAATCAAGGAGGAAAACAGGGTGCCTGGAACATGCTTCTGGCAGGAAGCTTCGTTAGGCCTTGGGCCGGGTCTTCCCAGGTGACACTTCTGAGCTGCCTATGCTGCGTTTAAAACAGATATACCATGGACTGGTCATGGAGTCGTATATGTGCATACGCCAACCCCAGATTTCAATGAAGGAGCCGGGATGTCCTCACAAGTCCCCACTGCACCTGTCTCCAGGACCGGGAAGGCCTTCTGGGTTGCTGCCACAGCCAGGGTGCTTAGCACACAGGAGGCCATAAATATTTGCAGAATAAACTGAGGAATCATTCTACTAAAGGTCACAGATCTTATTTCCTTAAAATGCATGGCTAAAACACCTTTCCTGGAAGCGTATTTCAGCCAGGGCCTATGTGGCTCTGGAAGCTGTGGAACATGTCTCTGGGGTGGGCCTGACAGCCCACTGAGAAACAAGCTCCGAGCTCCTGGGCAAGTCCCTTCCTTGGGCTTCAGTTTCCTGGAGATCAGAGTCCGCACAGAATGCCCGGGTACATCAGGCTCAGATCTCATCCCTTCAGCGTGCCAAGGACACGGGTATTGCTATCTACGTCCAAGGCATGATTTCAAGAGCATCTTCAACTTAACTCACACGCTGCTGTGACCCAGGGTCCCAACTCCAAGCTCATCTACTGAGGTGCTAGATTCAAAGCCAAAACCTGGCCCTCAGCTCCAGTGTCTCACAGGCATTGTGGACTTTAAGATTTTTTGAATAAATCTGAGGACCTCGGTAGTACCTGTAGCTTAGTACTGGGTAAGTCGAGTCTCCATTCGGCAAAATGACAGCTCACAGTAGGCACTACACCAACATGGACCCTGTTCTGGGCACTTTACGACTGGTAACTCATTTGAATGAGTAAGGTGCTCCTGTGCCCGTTCTAACCTCCAGGAAACTGAAGCACAAGGAAGGAACCTGTCCAGGAGCTCAGAGCTCATTTCTAAGTGGGCTGTCTGGCGCGGGCGGTGGGGGTGGGGTGGGGATGAAGACAGGACACGGAAAACGGGAGACAGCAAACGGGGGTCTGAGTGCCCAAGGCACGAGACACACAAAAGGGATCATGAAGGGCACAAGTCCCTTGGAAGCTGAAAGTCGACCCTTTCTACTTTCAAGATGACCAGATGTGACACAAATATGGCCAGCACAAGTCAATCAGCATACTGATTTCCCGAAATCCTTCCTTGTTTCCTACAGCACCAAATATCACACATCTACCCTAATATCATCCTTCCTGAGCAGTTGGCTAAAAATCAAACTCATCCAGTTAAATAAGAGTGAACAGTACCCACGCTCTAAAAACAGATCCTAGAATGAAACTTCACAACCTTAAAGGCTATACCTAGAACTAACCGAGCTGAAAAACAAAAAACAGAAAATTCACTCCAACCAGATACTTTCTTGAAATACAACCATTTCTGTGCCATAAGCCAGCTATAGCCTCGGAGCTTCTGCGAGAAGGCAGTTTCCCTTCTCTGGAACTATCCTGCCCCCTGCACGGCGGCCTTGCAGCAACACTAGGCCGCCGTCACTCCTCTCAGTCCGTCCCGATCGCGACCAGGCCACACCGAGCAAACACCGTCCTCGGGCGGATCCAGCCCCAGGCAGGCGCCCACTCGCGGTGCAGGCCGCGGAGCCGCCGGGAGAGGTGACCTCCCCCCGCGCGGCTCCCCCCCCCCCCCCTCCCCTCCCCTCCCCCCGCCGCCCCTCTCCCCCCCGCCCTCCCCGCGGCCGCCGCCATCTTCTCTCCTCGGCGGGAGCGCAGCGAGGACCGGCACTGACGCCGCGGCTCTCGGCGGGCCGGGCTTCCGCGCCACCGCCGCCGACCCCCGCCCGCCTCCGAGTGCGGCCCCGCGGCGGCCGGCCCCTCTTGCCCGGCGGCCGGGACGCCACTCACCGCGGGTCGCAGGCCTCTGGGGTCCCGCAGCCATTTCCTCGGAGCTCCGCGGAGTGGGCGGGAGGGCGAGGTCGGCGCCGGCCACCGAGACGCCGGGCTAGAAGGGCCGGCCGCGCCCGGAGCAGCGCCCCCGCGCGGAGGGAGGAGGCCCCGCCCCGCCCGC